AAACGTTCAAAGTTCTTGAAATGTTCCGTATTGACTGACCGTCATGTCTTAAAGTAATGATGGACTGTTGTTCCTCTTTGCTCATTTAAGCTGTTCTTGCCATAATATGGACTTGGTCTTTTACCAAATAGGGCTATCTTCTGTATACCCCCCCTACCTTGTCACAACACAACTGATTGGCTCAAACGCATTAAGAAGGAAATAAATTCCACAAATTAACTTTTAATAAGGCACACCTGTTAATTGAAATGCATTCCAGGTGACTATCTCATGAAGCTGGTTGAGAGAATGCCAAGAGTGTGCAAAGCTGTCATCAAGGCAAAGGGTGGCTATTTGAAGAATCTCATATATAAAATATATTTTGATTTGTTTAACACTTTTTTGGTTACTACGTGATTCCATATGTGTTATTTCATAGTTTTGATTTCTTCACTATTATTCTAAATGTAAAAAATATTAAAAATAAAGAAAAACCCTTGAATGAGTAGGTGTGTCCAAACTTTTGACTGGTAGTGTATAAGAAAGAAAACAGGAGAAATAAGAAATAAGAGAGGAGAGGAAGCTATATGCAGGGTCAGTGTTCAGTACCACAGAGAGGAAGCTATATACAGGGTCAGTGTTCAGTACCACAGAGAGGAAGCTATATACAGGGTCTGTGTTCAGTACCACAGAGAGGAAGCTATATACAGGGTCAGTGTTCAGTACCACAGAGAGGAAGCTATATACAGGGTCAGTGTTCAGTACCACAGAGAGGAAGCTATATACAGGGTCAGTGTTCAGTACCACAGAGAGGAAGCTATATACAGGGTCAGTGTTCAGTACCACAGAGAGGAAGCTATTTACAGGGTCAGTACCAGATTTACGATGTGCAGGGATACTGGAGTATTGAGGTAGATATGCACATGTAAGGGAAAGGGGGATACCTAGTCAGTTGTACAACTGAATGCATTCAACTGACATGTGTCTTTCCCATTTAACCCAACCCCTCTGAATCAGAGGTGCGGGGGGCTGGCTTAATCGACATCCACGTCATCGGCGCCCGGGGAACAGTGGGTTAACTGCCTTGCTCAGGGGCAGAACGACATATTTCCGAGTTCATGCCCTGACGAATTGAGGCTGTTCTGAGGGCAAAAAGGGGGATGCAACTCAATATTAGAAAGGTGTTCTTAATGTTTTGTACACTGTGTATATCTCTCTATTATGCGTGGGAATACTTTGTGCTGGGTAAGCTGAGTGGATGGACTGAAACTGAGTCGGCCAGTGGGTCCAGGATAGGAAGGTGTTCTTAATGTTTGGTATACTCAGTGTACTAATGGTAATATATACATGTGAACAGGAGTAATACTGACCAGTAGCAGGATAAATACATAGATACTAATGGTAATATATACATGTGAACAGGAGGAATAGTGACCAGTAGTAGGATAAATAGATAGATACTAATGGTAATGCTAATCAATAGTCAATGTACAGCAGCGTAATGGCGTAATAAATCTAACCAATAATCATTTTAGCAGCAGCGTAGGTATGAGGGGGAGCAGTAGTTGTTGAACAGTAGTTTAACATCCTTATGGCCAGGGGATAGACGCTGTTTAGGAGTCTAATAATAAATCATCATCATAAGATTTAATGTATGTAGCGATTTTCATTACAATAAGAATCTCAAATATGCTTTAAAAACTAAATAAAAAATAAGTGAATTTAAAGTTCATGATGGTGAACCTGATTCTAGATGACGTTCCTGGAGTTCTTTGAGGCGTTGCTGGGCTGTGCAGAGGTCAGCGATCAGAGTGATGGTCAGACATCCTCAGACAGCCAGGTAGAGAGCTGCCCTCTGGCTGACACCAGGAGGGTTTCCCCTGGGGAGAGGACCAGAGACAGCCCCCTACAGAGGTCCTCACAGCGGCACTCCCCTCTGACTGGACCTACTGTGAAGTCATCAAACCCCAACATCTCTCCTGATGTGGGTAGCGTCAAATCACTGGAGGTTGGTTTGATCAGCTCTGTCAAATGTCACATCTATACGTAATCTCACAAGTAGCTCTAGAAATCGAGACCAATCCTTGTCTAAATTAATTAATTCAATATTTTTCTACCCAGATGGGAAAATCCAAGGAGATTCTCCAGCTGTCTACACCTGAAGAGATGGAGCCCAGACAGAGTCCCAACGCAGCAGGCAACCTCACATCACAGACCGGGGGTGAGCCCAGACAGAGTCCCAACGCAGCAGGCAACCTCACATCACAGACCGGGGGTGAGCCCAGACAGAGTCCCAACGCAGTGTTCTACTCACATATCCGTATAGCTGACTGGTCACATCTTTGCGGCATTGTTGAAAGTGTATGCGTGTGTTTGAGTCAGGTGGTGGGTCAGCAACCCACTCGTCAGACACTGAGAGGAGAGAGGACTCAGGTGGGGCTACCATGGTGAGCGCTAGATCAGCAGTAGAGGCTAAAGTGTCAAATCACCCTCCCCATGATCATCCCCCCAGCACAGGTAGATTACACAATAAGTACACTGAACAAAAATATAAACGTAACATGCAACAATTTCAAAGATTTTACTGAGTTACAGTTCATAAGGAAATCAGTCAATTGAAATACATTAATTAGACCCTAATCTATGGATTTCACATGACTGGGAATACAGATATATATATAAGGTAGGGGCGTGGATCAGAACACCAGTCAGTATCTTGTGTGACCACCATTTGCCTCATGCAGCGCGACGCATTTCCTTCGCATAGAGTTGATCAGGCTGTTGATTGTGGCCTGTGGAATGTTGTCCCACTCTTCAATGGCAGTGCGAAGTTGCTGGATATTGGTGGGAACTGGAACACGCTGTCATACACGTCGATCCAGAGCATCCCAAACATGCTCAATGGGTGACATGTCTGGTGAGTATGCAGGCCATGGAAGAACTGGGACATTTTCAGCTTCCATAAATTGTGTACAGATTCTTGTGACATGGGGCTGTGCATTATGCTGAAACATGAGGTGATGGCAGCAGATGAATGGAACAACAATGGGCCTCAGGATCTAGTCACGGTATCTCTGTGCATTCAAATTGCCATTGATAAAATGCAATTGTGTTTGTTGTCTGTAGCTTATGGCTGCCCATACCATAACCCCACCGCTACCATGGGGCAATCTGTTCACAACATTGACATCAGCAAACCGTTCGCCCACAAGACGACATACACACTGTCTGCCATCTACCCGGTACAGTTGAAACCGGGATTAATCTGTGAAAAGCACCACTTCTCCAGCGTGCCAGTGGCCATTGAAGGTGAGCATTTGCCCACTGAAGTCGGTTACGATGCCAAACTGCAGTCAGGTCAAGACCCTGTTGAGGACGACGAGCACACAGATAAGCTTCCCTGAGACGGTTTCTGACAGTTTGTGCAGAAATTCTTAGGTTGTACAAACCCACAGTTTCATCAGCTGTCTGGGTGGCTGATCCCGTAGGTGAAGAAGCCAGATGTGGAGGTCCTGGGCTGGCGTGGTTACATGTGGTCTGTGGTTGCGAGGACGGTTGAACGTACTGCCAAATGCTCTAAAACGACGTTGGAGGTGGTTTATGGTAGAGAAATGAACATTAAATTCGCTGGCAGCAGCTCTGGTGGACATTCCTGCAGTCAGCATGCCAATTACACAATCCCTCAAAACGTGAGATCTGTGGCATTGTGTTGTGTGACAAAACTGCACATTTTAGAGTGGCCTTTTGTTGTCCCCAGCACAAGGTGCACCTGTGCAATGATCATGCTGTTTAATCAGCTTCTTGATATGCCACACCTGTCAGGTGGATTGATTATCTTGGCAAAGAAGAAATGCTCCCTAACAGGGATGTAAACACATTTGTGCACAAAATTTGAGAGAAATAAATGTTTTGTGCATATGGAACATTTCTGGGATCTTATTTCAGCTCATGAAACATGGGACCAACACTTTACATGTTGCCCTTATATTTTTGTTCAGTGTATACTACACTAATCTGGAAGGATTTATTGACCTCAGAAAACCAGAAATGCTATTTCGTACATGTATCTTATCATTGAAAATGTTTTTGTGGGGTGCCCATGGCCATGCCAATCTCACACCTGCCGTGTCTCCTAACCAGAGCCTGTTGAAGAGGACAGGAGAGGAGCAGAAGTAGCAGGTAAGACATCCTGCCCTGCTGAGACTGACCTGGACGGCTGGATCCAGAGGACCCACCATTTCTTCACCCAGAGGTTCTTCCCAGCGTACGAGTACAGCCTGGAGCTCAGGAGGGAGGTGCAGGAAGAGAGGCTGAGGCAGACGGCACTAGCCCGCATCGCTCTGGCTAAGGCCAAGGAAGACGCCAGGTAGGCAGCTACTGAGACATGATGAGGCCCCTTGATCCAGTTTGTATCCTAAATCCACACCCGAAGGGACGGGTAAAGTACCCAGATTAAGCCCCAGAGAATCTCCATTGGAAGTGCTTTTTAGTCCAGGAAATCTGCCCTTGATATGAGCACCACACAAGCTCTGCATGGTAACTCCGCGACAAATAAATCAATTATAACTTTATAATTTTCCAGGTTGAGGGAGCAGTGGGAGGCAGAGGAGGAGAGAAGGAGGGAGGAAGAAGAGGATGAGGAGGCTGAGCGAGTAGAAGGGCCAGAGGATGACCTTAACCCGTCTCCAGCGGCTCAGACGCCTGTGGCCTCCACCACCTCTGTGGCCATCACCAAACAGCCGCCTGCCACAGCAGCCAAGAAGAGGAAGTAGACTCCCAGATCACCCTGTAGTCTGGGCTCCATAGAACTGTATGGCCAGATTAAAATTAGTCCTGGATAGAAAAACAGACCTGTTCAGAGCATAGTCAGAACAGTTCTCTATGATGTCAATAACATGCATTTCACACTTAGTTACTGGAGTGGGACAAGTGTTTTGGGATTCAGTCATTGTTTGGTCTAGACTCAATGCTATAGTTGTCAAAGGAGAGGCAAAAAAAATTAGTCTGTTGGTAGCAAATGTGAAGAATCTACATTTTATTTACACAAATCAAAAGGTTTTTCCACACGCATATTCAATATAACAGAATTTAAGCTAAAAATAAACAAAGTTGATTTTGTATACAAAAGCTGGACATCTGGGCTCCATATAGAACGTGGTTACTAGTTAACACTACCTGGTGCCTTTTTGGTATTTAAATAATAATGTAGTACAGATAGCACAAAACAGTGTAAGGAAAGTTACAAAAAAACTATTTTCTGACAATGAGTTTAAAATAAAATAAAACAATGCATATAAAAATGTTTATTTTAGAGACTTTAAACTAGTCTCGCTATATGTAGACAAAATAGAAAAATATACAACAGCAGTTATGCATATCAGTCTCATCAGTTGCTCGTTCTATCAATCAGAGGGAGGTGTGAACGACATGAGGTCACTGGGGCAAATGGCCTGTCTCACTCTGTCCATCTGATCAGGGGTGAACAGCAACAGGTGTGACTCAACTGGCTGGAGGAGAGAGGAGAGAAGAAATAGGGACAGCATGGGTCAGTTGAGAGGAATTCATACCTTTTGCCAATCCATGTCTCAATTGTCTAGGTTTAAAAATCCTTCTTTAACCTGTCTTCTCCCCTTTATCTAAACTGATTAAAGTGGATTTAACAAGATACATAAATAAAGGATCATAGCTTTCACCTGGTCAGTCATGGAAAGAGCATAATGTTCATCTGCCAAAATTAAGGAAACACTTGAGTAAATGAGGGATACAAAGTAAATTGAAAGAAGGCACTTCAATTAAGCAATTAACATCCCATCATGCTTAGGGTCTTATATAAAATGCCCAGTTGCCCATTATTTTGGCTATAGCGTGGCTAGAAGACAGCTCAGACTTTGAAAGGGGTCTCAAAGGAGTATAGGGTGTGTGTGTCAGTCACCAGATCTCAACCAAATTGAACACTTATGGGAGATTCTGGAGCGGCACATGAGACAACATTTTCCACCACCAATGTCAAGTGGAAGAATAGTTTCACATCCCTCCAATAGAGTTCCAGACACTTGTAGACTATGTCAAGCTGCATTGAAGCTGTTCTGGCAGCTCGTGCCTTCAGAAATTATTCACACTTTTTCCACATTTTGTTGTAACAGCCTGAATTTAAAATGGATTAAATTGAGATGTTGTGTCACTGGCCTACACACAATACCCCATGTCAAAGTGGAATTATTTTATTTTTAACAAATTAATTAACTTTAAAGCTGAAATGTCTAGAGTCAATACGTATTCAACCCCTTTGTTATGGCAAGCCTAAATAAGTTCAGGAGTAAGAATTTATTTAACAAGTCACATAATAAGTTGCATGGACTCTCACTGTGTGCAATAATAGTGTTTAACATGAATTTTGAATGACTAACTCAACTCCGTACCCCACACATACAGATAATTTGTAAGGTCCCATCGTCAAGCATTGAATTTCAACAAAGATCAGGGAGGTTTTCCAATGTCTCGCAAAGGGCACCTGTTGGTAGATGGAGGAGAAAAAAAAAAAAAAAAAAAAAAACACCTACAAGCACACGGAATTATCCTTTGAGCATGGTGAAGTTATTAATTGCACTTTGGATGGTGTATCAATGTACCCAGTCACTACAAAGATACAGGTGTCCTTCCTACCTCAGTTGCCGGAGAGGAAGGAAACTGCTCAGGGATTTCACCATGAGGCCAATGGTGACTTTAAAACAGCTACAGAGTTTAATGGCTGTGATAGAACACTGAGGATGGATCAGCAACATTGTAGTTACTCCACAATACTAACCTAATTGACAGAGTGAAAAGGAAGCCTGAACAGTATAAAAAAATCCTAAACATGCATCCTGTTTGCAACAAGGCACTAAAGTAATACTGCAAAAAAATGTGGCATGTAAAAAAATGTAACTTTTTGTCCAGAATACCGTGAATGTTCCTGAGTCACAGTTTTGACTTAAATCTACTTGAACATGGTTGTCTAGCAATGATCAACAACCAAATTTGACAGAATGGGCAAATGTTGCACAATCCATGTGTGGAAAGCTCTTAGAGACTTACCCAGAAAGACTCACAGCTGTAATCGCTGTCAAAGGTGCTTCTACAAAGTACTGACTGAGGGGTGTGAATACTTATGTAAACTAGATATTTCTATATAATATTTTCTATACATTTACAAAATGTTTTCACGATGCAGTATTGTGTGTAGATGGGTGAGAAAAAAATCAATTGAATCCACTTTAAATTTAGGCTGTAACAACAAAATGTAAAATAAGTGGGTATAAGCCACTGTACCTGTACGCACGCTCTCATATATACACATACATACACACACACACATATATATGTACATACATACATACATACATACATACATACATACATACATACATACATACATACATACACACACACACAGTGGGGAGAACAAGTATTTGATACACTGCCGATTTTGCAGGTTTTCCTACTTACAAAGCATGTAGAGGTCTGTAATTTTTATCATAGGTACACTTTAATTGTGAGAGACGGAATCTAAAACAAAAATCCAGAAAATCACATTGTATGATTTTTAAGTAATTAATTTGCATTTTATTGCATGACATAAGTACACTGCTCAAAAAAATAAAGGGAACACTTAAACAACACAATGTAACTCCAAGTCAATCACACTTCTGTGAAATCAAACTGTCCACTTAGGAAGCAACACTGATTGACAATAAATGTCACATGCTGTTGTGCAAATGGAATAGACAACAGGTGGAAATTATAGGCAATTAGCAAGACACCCCCCAATAAAGGACTGGTTTTGCAGGTGGTGATCACAGACCACTTCTCAGTTCCTATGCTTCCTGGCTGATGTGGTCACTTTTGAATGCTGGCGGTGCTTTCACTCTAGTGGTAGCATGATACGGAGTCTACAACCCACACAAGTGGCTCAGGTAGTGCAGCTCATCCAGGATGGCACATCAATGCGAGCTGTGGCAAGAAGGTTTGCTGTGTCTGTCAGCGTAGTGTCCAGAACATGGAGGCGCTACCAGGAGACAGGCCAGTACATCAGGAGACGTGGAGGAGGCCGTAGGAGGGCAACAACCCAGCAGCAGGACCGCTACCTCCGCCTTTGTGCAAGGAGGAGCACTGCCAGAGCCCTGCAAGATGACCTCCAGCAGGCCATAAATGTGCATGTGTCTGCTCAAACGGTCAGAAACAGACTCCATGAGGGTGGTATGAGGGCCCGACGTTCACAGGTGGGGGTTGTGCTTACAGCCCAACACCGTGCAGGACGTTTGGCATTTGCCAGAGAACACCAAGATTGGCAAATTCGCCACTGGCGCCCTGTGCTCTTCACAGATGAAAGCAGGTTCACACTGAGCATGTGACAGAGTCTGGAGACACAGTGGAGAACGTTCTGCTGCCTGCAACATCCTCCAGCATGACCGGCTTGGCGGTGGGTCAGTCATGGTGTGGGGTGGCATTTCTTTGGGGGGGCCAGAGGTAGCCTGACTGCCATTAGGTACCGAGATGAGATCCTCAGACCCCCTGTGAGACCATATGCTGGTGCGGTTGGCCCTGGGTTCCTCCTAATGCAAGACCTCATGTGGCTGGAGTGTGTCAGCAGTTCCTGCAAGAGGAAGGCATTGATGCTATGGACTGGCCCGCCCGTTCCCCAGACCTGAATCCAATTGAGCACATCTGGGACATCATGTCTCGCTCCATCCACCAACGCCACGTTGTACCACAGACTGTCCAGGAGTTGGCGGATGCTTTAGTCCAGGTCTGGGAGGAGATCCCTCAGGTGACCATCCGCCACCTCATCAGGAGCATGCCCAGGCGTTGTAGGGAGGTCATACAGGCACGTGGAGGCCACACACACTACTGAGCCTCATTTTGACTTGTTTTAAGGACATTACATCAAAGTTGGATCAGCCTGTAGTGTGGTTTTCCACTTTAATTTTGAGGGTGACTCCAAATCCAGACCTCCATGGGTTGATAAATTTGATTTCCATTGATAATTTGTGTGATTTTGTTGTCAGCACATTCAACTATGTAAAGAAAAAAGTATTTAATAAGATTATTTCATTCATTCAGATCTAGGATGTGTTATTTTAGTGTTCCCTTTATTTTTTTGAGCAGTGTATTTGATCACCTACCAACCAGTAAGAATTCTGGCTCTCACAGACCTGTTAGTTTTTCTTTAAGAAGCCCTCCTGTTCTCCACTCATTACCTGTATAAAATACACCTGTCCACACACTCAATCAAACAGACTCCAACCTCTCCACAATGGCCAAGACCAGAGAGCTGTGTAAGGACATCAGGGATAAAATTGTAGACCTGCACAAGGCTGGGATGGTCTACAGGACAATAGGCAAGCAGCTTGGTGAGAAGGCAACAACTGTTGGCGCAATTATTAGAAAATGGAAGAAGTTCAAGATGACGGTCAATCACCCTCAGTCTGGGGCTCCATGCAAGATCTCACCTCGTGGGGCATCAATGATCATGAGGAAGGTGAGTGATCAGCCCAGAACTACACGGCAGGACCTGGTCAATGACCTGAAGAGAGCTGGGACCACAGTCTCAAAGAAAACCATTAGTAACACACTACGCCGTCATGGATTAAAATCCTGCAGCGCACGCAAGGTCCCCCTGCTCAAGCCAGCGCATGTCCAGGCCCGTCTGAAGTTTGCCAATGACCATCTGGATGATCCAGAGGAGGAATTGGAGAAGGTCATGTGGTCTGATGAGACAAAAATAGAGCTTTTTGGTCTAAACTCCACTCGCCGTGTTTGGAGGAAGAAGAAGGATGAGTACAACGCCAAGAACACCATCCCAACCGTGAAGCATGGAGGTGGAAACATCATTCTTTGGGGATGCTTTTCTGCAAAGGGGACAGGACGACTGCACCGTATTGAGGGGAGGATGGATGGGGCCATGTATCGCGAGATCTTGGCCAACAACCTCCTTCCCTCAGTAAGAGCATTGAAGATGGGTCGTGGCTGGGTCTTCCAGCATGACAACGACCCGAAACACACAGCCAGGGCAACTAAGGAGTGGCTCTGTAAGAAGCATCTCAAGGTCCTGGAGTGGCCTAGCCAGTCTCCAGACCTGAACCCAATAGAACATATTTGGAGGGAGCTGAAAGTCCATATTGCCCAGCGACAGCCCCGAAACCTGAAGGATCTGGAGAAGGTCTGTATGGAGGAGTGGGCCAAAATCCCTGCTGCAGTGTGTGCAAACCTGATCAAGACCCACAGGAAACGTATGATCTCTGTAATTGCAAACAAAGGTTTCTGTACCAAATATTAAGTTCTGCTTTTCTGATGTATCAAATACTTATGTCATGCAATAAAATGCAAATTAATTACTTAAAAATCATACAATGTGATTTTCTGGATTTTTGTTTTAGATTCCGTCTCTCACAGTTGAAGTGTACCTATGATAAAAATGACAGACCTCTACATGCTTTGTAAGTAGGAAAACCTGCAAAATCGGCAGTGTATCAAATACTTATTCTCCCCACTGTACATACATACACACTGCATTTGGAAAGTATTTATACCCCTTGACTTTTTCCACTTTGTTACGTTACAGCCTTACTCTAAAATTGATTCAATTGTTTATTTCCCCTCAATCTACACACAATACCCCATAATGACAAAGCAAAAACAGGATTTTAGAAATTTGTGCAAATGTATTACAAACAAAAAAACTGAAATATCACATTTATATAAGTATTCAGACCCTTTACTCAGTACTTTGTTAAAAGCACCTTTGGCAGCAATTACAGCCTCAAGTATTCTTGGGTATGACGCTACAAGCTTGGCACACCTGTATTTGGGGGGTTTCTACCATTCTTCTCTGCAGATCCTCTCAAGCTCTGTCAGGTTGGATGGGGAGCGTCGCTTTACAGCTATTTTCAGGTCACTTCAGAGATGTTCGATCGGGTTCAAGTCCGGGCTCTGGCTGGGCCACTCAAGGACATTCAGAGACTTGTCCCGAAGCCACTCCTGCGTTGTCTTGGCTGTGTGCTTAGGGTCGTTGTCCTGTTGGAAGGTGAACCATCGCCCCAGTCTGAGGTTCTGAGCAGGTTATCAAGAATCTCTCTGTACTTTGCTCCGTTAATCTTTGCCTCGATCCTGACTAGTCTCCCAGTCCCTGCTGCTGAAAAACACCCCCACAGCATGATGCTGCCACAGCCATGCTTCACCGTAGGGATGGTGCCAGGTTTCCTCCAAACGTGACACTTGGCATTCAGGTTAAAGAGTTCAATCTTGGTTTCATCAGACCAGAGAATCTTGTTTCTCATGGTCTGAGTCTTTAGGTGCCTTTTGGCAAACTCCAAGTGGGCTGTCATGTGCCTTTTACTGAGGAGTGGCTTCCGTCTGGCCACTCTACCATAAAGGCGTGATTGGTGGAGTGCTGCACAGATGGTTGTCCTTCTGGAAGGCTCTCCCATCTCCACAGAGGAACTCTAGAGCTCTGTCAGAGTGACCATCGGGTTCTTGGTCACCTCCCTGACCAAGGCCCTTCTCCCCCGATTGCTCAGTTTGGCCGAGCGGCCAGCTCTAGGAAGAGTCTTGGTGGTTCCAAACTTCTTCCATTTAAGAATGATGGAGGCCACTGTGTTCTTGGGGACCTTCAATGCTGCAGACATTTTTTGGCACCCTTCCCCAGATCTGTTTCTCGACACAATCCTGTCTCTCGGTTCTACAGACAATTCCTTCGACCTCATGGCTTGGTTTTTGCTCTGACATGCACTGTCAACTGTGGGACCTTATATAGACAGGTGTGCACCTTTCCAAATCATGTCCAATCAATTGAATTTACCACAGGTGGACTCTAATCAAGTTGTAGAAACATCACAAGGATGATTAATGGAAACAGGATGCACCTGAACTCAATTTCGAGTCTCATAGCAAAGGGTCTGAATACTTATGTAAATAAGGTATCTGTTTTTTAATTTTAATACATTTGCTAAAATATCTAAAAACCTGTTTTTGCTTTGTCATTATGGGGTAGTGTGTGTAGATTGCTGAGGATTTTTATTTATTTAATCCATTTTAGAAATAGGCTGTAATGTAAGAAAATGTGGAAAAAGTCAAGGGGTCTAAAAACTTTCCGAAGGCACTGTACACACACGCAAGAGAGAAAGAAGAGGGTAAAACAAGGAAGTTAACCTGTGTCGTCCGTGGGGTCAACATTTGTGCCAAACTGGGAAAAGCTGTGATGGGAGTGAGAAGGAGGGAAAATAAAAATGAAAACAAATCCACCATAAGGAATACAAATATCTAGGATTAACCGTATCCAAGCACAAACACGTTACCTGTGGGAGTCGACACTTCCTCCTGAGGGGGCTCTCCAGACGGAGCCAATGGAGTCTCCATTTCTACATCTATCGCCATGGGCGACAGCATCTCCTCGGCAACAGCCAGCTCCCGTGGCGACAGGCTGCACCTCACTGCAGGTTGGAGGTAGCGCTCAAAGTCCAAACCCGGAATACCCTGGTGTATTTTGAGAAAGAAAAAAAATAGATTAACTCTTGCCAGTAATTTAGAAATACATAAAGATGAGACATCTTCTTTTACAAAACACTTACCTCAGTGATGGAAGTGTCTGGAGTCACGGTCACTGGTACGTCGGCATCAGCTGGGAAGCCGAGGGAGACCTGGACAGCAGGAGGAGAGGAGGGGGGCACCAGGCAGGAGAGAGGAGATAGGCTGGCCTCAGTAAGTCTTGGCCTAGCTGGGGTGGGGGAGAGGTTGAAGCTGAAGGCAGGGCTCCTGACTTGGGTGTGGGGCAGTGAGGGTGAGAGGGGAAGCCCTGGTGAGATGGGTAGGCTGGTATCGTAGGCCTCTAAAGCCTCTTTTCTGTCCTGGAGCTCTAATTGGTTGGGCTCCTCTGTGGCCAACACCGTTTGGCTGAAGGCTTCTTGGTGCTGTTCGTCATTGGTCAGCTGTTGTGTGTTGGATGGTGATTGGCCGATTTCTTCAGACTCACAGCTCACATAGTGCTCCTCAGGGCAAACAGTGGGCTCTGAAACAAGCTCCGATTGGTCACAAGCTACAGCTTCCTGCATGCTCTCGGGTTCTGGTTGGTCAGGAGTGACGTCATTCTGCACAGAGGCTAGCTCTGGTTGGTTGCTGGGGCCTTCCTCTGACTGGGTGTCCATCAGAGCTTCTTTGACTGGTGAGAAGCAGAGAGAGACTCTGGTGGGGCTACTTTGGGCCAGGGTGTAGGACTGAGGTTCATGATCAGTGTGAGGGGTACGGAGTGGGGTGGCATCAGACGGGCAGGCAGGGGTGAGGGTGGAGCAGGCAGGGGTGAGGGTGGGGTGAGCAGGGGAGAGGGTGAGGCAGGGGAGTGGGGAGGCGTGTGCAGCTGCAGCAGTGTTGGAGTGGCGGGTTCTGCCAGAGGTGGAGAACTTGGTGACTGAACAGGGAGAAGCCTGAGGCATGGCAGATACACGGGTGGATCTCCTCACAGAGCCTGGAAAGAAACAGACAGACCATACAGCAATCAGTCAATGCCCAACTTACAATCTCTACACAGCTTTACCAGGTACCTCGAACACTGACAGAGGGAGAGGCCAGGGGTCTTCCAGGTCCGAACAAACCTTTCGGCCTGCCATTCTACACATCTTTCTCTGCCTCCATCAATATCTCTGAGCATCACAGCAGTTGAGGAAGTGTGGGTGAAGAACGGTGGAGGTATGAGTCTCACCTGTGAGTTTGGCAGGACTCTCAACCTGGAAGAAGCCTCCCTGGAACACCACCACCGGTGGCTCTGGGGCCTGGGTCTCCGCCTGGGGGTCCTGAGGAGCTGGAGCAGGGTTGTCCACAGCACTGCCTGGCCCTGCGGCCTGCGCTGCCTTCTCTGCCTCTGCAGCCTGCTGCTTGGCCTTTATTGCAGCCTTGATGGCAGCCAGACGAGACTTGGCGACAGCACCACCGGCAGGCTTAGGCACCAGAGCAGAGGGCGGCTTCTTGACCACCTTCCTCTGTCGTGGTGGGGGCTTGCTCTCCTCCTGCCAACCCTTAGACTCTGCCTCCTTCAGAGCACCAAACTTCTTGTTCACGTCCTCTACCTGACAGAGGAAGAGTCGAACAAGGAGAGAGCGAGAGAGGGAGTACTCTTTTTAGAAAGCTTGCATCCACATTTTCAACCTTTTAGAATGCTGTACCAATCTAGGTGGTCATTCTTCCTAGAGGTAGCTAGTATAGTTTAGCTTTAGTGTTAACAGACAGGCATCAACAGAGTTTAACCACCAGTGTCTGACTGTCTGTTCATCTAATTCTACACACACACACCGTAGACCATGCCCTCCTAGTCACTAACCCACCTGGTAGGAGACCATGTCCTCCTAGTCACTAACCCACCTGGTAGGAGACCATGTCCTCCTAGTCACTAACCCACCTGGTAGGAGACCATGTCCCAGAAGCCTTGCAGGTCGGTGCAGGTGGTGATCTTTTCTCCTCTGCCCAGCTCACAGTCATCCACCAGGCCAGAGAACTGACCAAACCTCTCCTTCATCAGCAGCCTGGCCTGGCCCACCGCCGTACGCATACGGTCACACACTTCACAGGGATGGAGATCAACACAGTTAGGAAAGGTAATGAGAGAAAAGGATACATTGAGGAAATGTGTTGTGATTCATTTTGCTTATAGAAATCAGAATCAATAGCATTATAATGGTTAAAACACATGAAGAGTCACTCACTCTCTTCAGGGACAGAGACATCATCCACCCTGGACTCCCACTGCTGACAAAATTCTGTCAGGCTCTCTGTCTCACTGACCACCACTGACCTGACAGACACACGGCAGACATTCACATGATACACCAATACTAGTCTGGGTGAGGAACATAGCTGTTGACTTGGTTTCACATTTTATGGATGCATTTGTCAGGTAAAATGTAACCCTCACCTGAAGTAGGGCACATCATGCTCTGGTTCTTTGGGACTCGGAAGACACAGAGGGGCCAGAGTAGGAGAAGGGCGAGGTGGTGAGTGAGAAGGGGACTTGGCAGGAGAGGGAACACTGAGTTCCATTTTGGTTACCAAGTTATCAGAGGGCCTGAGTGGAACAGGGTGTAGAACAGGGACACTGGAGAGGAGAGGATGAAAACAGTTTAGTACATACACAAAGCTACAAAATGACAGCCGGTCATATTTTAATAAGCAGTAACGGTATATCAACCAGGTTTTCATACTCTGAAGAAATATATCTGACTAAACCTAGTAAATATGTCTCTTATACAGCGAGACTTACAGAAGCAATTGGGGCACGTCGACAGATTTTACAGTCGGCTCGGGGGTTCCAACCATCAACCTTTCGGTTACTGGCCCAATGCTCTTAACCACTAGGCTACCTGCCGCCCTAAAAAGTATTTCCTCGAATCCTCTCCTCGACCCCCTAAAACTCATTGGAGGAGAAGATCTGAGGTGATCGTCTCCTCCAATGCCATTCGAGAAGGTGCAGAGAGGAAGAAGGTGCAGAGAGGATGAAGGTGCAGAGAGGTTGCGAGGAATCAAACACACAAAGTTACCTGGGTTTGAAGAAGGAGTCTGCAGAGCGGGGAGTGAGAGGGGTGGGCTTGAAGGAGGACAGGCCTGCTGGGGCCTGGAACACAAAGCCCTGGGGGGCGAAGGAGGACGGGGTGGGGGCTGGAGGGAGGATGGGGTCGGCCTGGGATGGGACAGGTTCTGGAGCAGGGCCTTCTACCATCTTCTCATCCTCCTCTGCACTGGGGGGTGGGGGGCTGGCAGACCTGTGGTCCTCTAATGGCTCGTCCACTTTCACAGCAGCCTGCTTATTGCTCCCTAAAGAGATTGCCAAATCATAATTTTTGAATGCAGAAATAACGTTGAAAAGCACGCAAAATGTTGTTGAAGAATGGTGCATAACAAGGTTGGGACGTCAGCTGCCAATGCTCACCCCTGGTGTTCCTCCCTCTGCCAACAGGTGGTGCTGCAGACTGCTTGGCATTTGATCTGGTCTTGGGCGCTGCAGCAGGTTTGTCCTTTGCCACAGGGGCCACAGAGACCGGAGGAATATTAGCTGACCTTGTGGATGGGGCTCTGACTACTTGTTCAACTGCAGTAAAGTGGAAAAATAACAGTCATAAGTTACAAGTCAAGGATATGTTTACCAGGGTCAAATAATTGGCAAAACAAAAGGCATGGAGAGTAACGTATAGAATAGCTGTGTATAGTACAGTTGACAGATTGTTGTCATAGTTAGGAGTGTTACCTATAGCGATCCTGGTCCTCCTGGTTGACCTGACCACAGCTGGTTCAACTAAGACAGAATCAGGTAGAGGTTAAGGGTTAGCAGGTGTTGAATCATGCACACAATTTAAAGATGATTTGGAGCAGCATGGCTTTTGCAACGCCAGGGTTGTGGGTTTGATTCCCACGGGGGGCCAGTATGTAAAAAATAATGTATGCACTAACTGTAAGTCGCTCTGGATAAGAGCGTCTGCTAAATGACTAAAATTTAAAATGTAAAATGATATAGGGTGGAATAATTGTTTTAGAGGTAAGGTGGGGGTAAAGAAACACCAACCTTTTCTTGAAACAGGAAGAGTGTCATTAGATTGTGGTAACTAGGTCAATGGAACAGAGAAAATACTGCATATTGTCAATTATATGGTTATTCCAAAAAGCAGCTATTATAGTTCTTGACTAAATAATGTAACAGAAAATCTTATATAAAGACATGTGCAGAACAAATGTAGACTTGGCAGGAAAAATTACCTTGGGGGCCTGCTGCCTCATGTTGGAGCGAGTCACTCTGGTGGATTGGGGCTGGACCACTGCCGTTGTTGCCTGGTTGGGGGAAAGGCCAAGTTATGGCCATGTAACAACCACTAAGAACAGCAGTTCTTCTGTTCTTATATGCTAATGTTTTTTGGACACATCGAAGTTCAACCTCCGGTGATGAGTCAATCACATCTTCATCAAATCAATGATTGAACAGTGACTCCCAAGGACGATGGATATAATATCTACAGATATGTCAGCAGTATACGGAGTCAGTGTTAAACTGTGCCCTCTCACCCTGGCTTTGATTGTAGCAGCTGGGGCCTGAGGCAGAGGGGCCAGGGGCCGGTACAGCCCAACCTTGAACACCCCCTTCTTCTCCCTTGCTCTCTTCTCTTTCTCCTTCACAAGCTCCTTCTTCTCTTTGTAACGGGCCAGCTTTTTAATTCGCTCCTCCACTGCAGCGTCTGAGAAAAAGAAGGAGGGAGTTAGAGAGAAAATAGATCAGTGTGGGATTACATAATATTAGTGGGAGTGGAGGATGAAGAGGCATGAGGGTGAAGTAGGCTCAGGCTCATTTTTTTTTGACATACTCCAGTTTCAGAGAATAAAATATTGTAGCCAGCTAACCTGGCTACAGTAACATTACCTAGAGCAGTGGTTCCCAAACTGTGGGGCACGCACCCCTTGGGTCAGTAGGGGGGGTGCGGCGGCCCCCCCAAAATAATAAATAAATATATAGTGTTGTGAAAAAGTATTTGCACCCTTCCTAATTTTCTCTACTTTTGCATATTTTTTAAAAATACTGAATGTTATCAGATCTTCAACCAAAACCTAATATTAGATAAAGGGAACCTGAGCGAACAAATAACAACACTTACATAAAAAGTTATGCAACTCCCAATGCCAGTGTGAAAAAGTAATTGCCCCCTTACACTCAATAACTGGTTGTTTGACCTTTAGTGGCAATGACTCCAACCAAACGCTTCCTGTAATTGTTGATCTCTCACATCGCTGTGGAAGAATTTTGGCCCACTCTTCCATGCAGAACTGCTTTAACTCAGCGACATTTGTGGGTTTTCAAGCATGAACTGCTCGTTTCAAGTCCTGCCACAACATCTCAATTGGGATTAGGTGTGGCCTTTGACTAGGCCATTCCAAAATGTACATTTGTTGCTTTTTAGGTTCTTACTGTGGAATGCATGTCATCCAAAAAAATATACTTTTGACTCATCTGTCCATAGAACATTCTTCCAAGAGTCTTGATGATCATCCAGGTGCTTTTTGGCAAACTGGAGTCAACTTTTTGGATGAGATGGGTTCCATTATGCCTGGCGAAAACCAAACATGCCGATGGGTCCCATTATCTGCCCGGTACAGTTGAAACCAGGAATCATCCGTGATGCGCACACTTCTCCAGCATGCCAGCGGCCATCAAAGGTGCGCATTTGCCCACTGAATTTAATTACGACGCCGAACTGCAGTCAGGTAAAGACCTTGGTGAGGACGACGAGCACAGAGATAAGCTTCCCTGAGACGGTTTTTGACAGTTTGTGCAGAAATTCTTAGGTCCGGGTGGCTGGTCTCAAACGATTCCGCAGGTGAAGAAGCCGGATGTAGAGGTCCTGGCGTGGTTACACATGGTCTGCGGTTGTGAGGCCTGTTGGACGTACTGCCAAATTCTCTAAAACGACGTTGGAGGCGGCTTATGGTAGAGAAATGAACATTAAATTATTTGGCAACAGCTCTGGTGCCATTCATACAGTCAGCATGCCAATTGCACGTTCCCTCAAAACATGAGACATCTGTGGCATTGTGTTGTGTGACAAAAACTGCACATTTGAGTGGCCTTTTATTCTCCCCAGCACAAGGCGCACCTGTGTAATGATCATGCTGTTCAATCAGTTTCGTGATATGCCACACCTGTCACGTGGATGTATTTTCTTGGCAAAGGAGAAATTCTCACTAACAGGCATGTAAACACATTTTACAGAAATAAGCTTGTGTGTATGGAAGGTTTCTGGGATATTTTATTTCAGCTCATGAAACATGGGACCAACACTTTATGTTGCGTTTATATTTTTGTTCAGAGATACAGTACCAGTCAAAAGTTTGGACACACCTACTCATTCCAGGGTTTTTCTTTATTTTTGCAATTTTTTACATTGTAGAATAATAGTGAAGACATCAAAACTATGAAATAACATATGGAATCATGTAGTAAACAAAAAAAGTGTTAAACAACTCAAAATATATTTTATATTTGAGATTCTTCAAAGTAGCCACCCTTTGCCTTGATGACAGCTTTCACTCATGGCATTCTCTCAACCAGCTTTATGACGTAGTCACCTGGAATGCATTTCAATTAACAGGTGTGCCTTAAGTTATTTGTGGAATTTATTTCCTTCTTAATGTGTTTGAGCCAATCAGTTGTGTTGTGACAAGGTAGGGGGGGGGGTATACAGAAGATTACATTTACATTACATTTTAGTCATTTAGCAGACGCTCTTATCCAGAGCGACTTACAGGAGCAATTAGGGTTAAGTGCCTTGCTCAAGGGCACATTTACGTCATTTAGCAGACGCTCTAGTCCAGAGCGACTCACAAATTGATGCATTCACCCTATAGCCAGTGGGATAACCACTTTACAATTTTTTTTGGGGGGGGGGGATAGCCCTATTTGGTAAAAGACCAAGTCCATATTATGGCAAGAACAGCTCAAATAAGCAAAGAGAAACGACAGTCCATCATTACTTTAAGACATGAAGGTCAGTCAATAAGGAACATTTCATGAACTTTGAAAGTTTCTTCAAGTGCAGTCACAAAAACCATCAAGCGCTATGATGAAACTGTCTCTCATGAGGACCACCACAGGAATGGAAGACCAGAGTCACCTCTGCTGCAGAGGATAAGTTCAATAGAGTTACCAGCCTCAGAAATTGCAGCCCAAATAAATGCTTCACAGAGTTCAAGTAACAGCCACACCTCAACATCAACTGTTCAGAGGAGACTGTGTGAATCAGGCCTTCATGGTCAAATTGCTGCAAAGAAACCACTACTAAAGGATACCAATAAGAAGAAGAGACCTGCTTGGGCCAAGAAACACGAGCAATGGACATTAGACCGGTGGAAATTTGTCCTTTGGTCTGGAGTCCAAATTTGAGATTTTTGGTTCCAACCGCTGTGTCTTTGTGAGACGCGGTGTGGGTGAACGGATGATCTCCGCATGTGTATTTCCCACCGTAACGCATGGAAGAGGTGGTGTTACGGTGTGGGGGTGCTTTGCTGGTGACACTGTCTGTGATTTATTTAGAATTCAAGGCACACTTAACCAGCATGGCTAACACAGCATTCTACAGCGATACGCCATCCCATCTGCTTTGGGCTTAGTGGGACTATCATTTGTTTTTCAACAGGACAATGACCCAACACACCTCCAGGCTGTGTTCAGATCCCCCGACCTCAACCCAATTGAGATGGTTTGGGATGAGTCGGATGGCAGAGTGAAGGAAAAGCAGCCAACAAGTGCTCAGCATATGTGGGAACTCCTTGAAGACTGTTGGAAAAGCATTCCAGGTGAAGCTGGTTGAGAGAATGCCAAGAGTGTGCAAAGCTGTCAAGGCAAAGGGTGGCTATTTGAAGAGTCTCAAATATAAAATATATTTTGATTTGTTTAACACTTTTTTGGTTACTACATGATTCCATGTGTTATTTCATAGTTTTGATGTCTTCATTATTATTCTACAATGTAAAAAAAATAGTACAAATAAAGAAAAACCCTTGAATGAGTTGGTGTCCAAACTTTTGACTGGTAGTGTGTTGTGTAATATATATATATTTTTTAAGGAACTCAGTCCAGCTTTCAACGTATTCTTCAGTGGTAATAGTAGAATACACAAGGTGCAATTTCAAATTTGGATAGTGTATCAGTTTTCCTCTAGTCACGTTAGTCATTGCAGACCTTAAAAATGTATTTATAAATTGTCAGAAATGTCCAGATCAACAAGCCCATGTCAGTTAACGTTTTTAGCTAGGTTTTTCAGCCCTTAGATTGTTGTAATGTTTGAGTCACTCAATTATAATATGAATATACATGAGACACGGCAACATTTATAGAATTGCAAGAAAATGAGCTTTAAACCTGCAACATTTTCTGTCCACCAACAACAGGGGTGTGAACAGCGTGTGCCCATAGAAATATACGTGGCGCGTGCAAGGGGGGCGCGGGATGTTCTAATGCTGGTAGGGGGAACTGAGTGAAAAACGTTTGGTAACCCCTGCCCTAGACAATACTGTTTAGCTTGCTAAATAAGTAAACCACGAATGCACAACAGAACCACCACACACAAAAACAACTCACTTTTCACTTGTTTCGCATTCGATGCTTTTTCCTGAACTACTGACACATTTTCAACAACCGACATGTCCAGTTGAGAACATTCCAACTCCGGGAGTTTGTCAAGCTGCCTGCGGCTGTTCAGTGCCTTGTCTCGGTTCTCCTTCTGGGACTGCGACCGTCTCCGAGACATCTTCACCCGCAGCATGTCCACACTGGTGTCACGCTGACGCAGATGGCCGAAACGAGCTTCCATGGAGTCCATGATCCTGTGACAAATATATATATATATATATATATAGAGAGAGAGAATGCATGGAACTACTAGCTAGTTACACGTTTTATAGACAGATATATTGATTATACTGTAGCTATCTCGCAAACGTTAGCTAGTTAGCCAACTAAAGTTAGGAGCAGTCACTGCTGGCCACTGACGCGTAATATGCTCCATCTAGTATTAACGTTAATGAGAAATATTCACCAACATTGTATTTTATCATTGTGCACTCTTACCTGTTGGGAAAAAGTGGTTGTTAGTGGTGATTTCAAAGTTCTAGCTGTCCAGATAGATAGCAACCTCTCTGGACGTGGGTCCTCAGATAAACGACTTCCAAGTTAGCTAACTCAAAATAACAATATGGCGGGTCAGTTTTGAAAATTCTAAATTCTGCTAGGCATTGCCAATTGGCTGAGTGGCTGATTTCCGGTCGGGAGCGTCGCGCTGATAGGCTAATGATTTCGAACGTGTTCTTCTGAGATACTTTGTTGTTGTGTTTGTGGGCAAAACAATTTGGCACAAAAAAATTATTCCAGCTGTAAGTACCTAGGGAGTAATCGTTGTACAACAAGACTAGAAATCATTGGCGTAATCATTGAACCAAAGTTTGAACTCTCTCCCCTTTTTTTCTCTCTATGTGTGCCTGTGTGGTTGAGCAACAGAGTAAAAAGAGTAGCTGCACCCCCACTTTCGAAATAGCGGTGTAAGCGTATGTTTATGCACCCCCACTTTCAAAGTCAGGCACCCATTTGTGTGTGTGTGTGTGTGCCTGTGTCCCTGGCATTATTCTCATTTAATGTACAATTATTGAACATAAAGGTTATTCTATGTCCTGTCCTATGGAATGTGGCTGTTTCCCACTCTCATCATCTCTCCACTTTGATCGTCTCAAATTTCACCTTGTGTCTACTTTCAACACACCACAGAAGGGCGGTCCCAGTGTTGTCAGCAGCACAACCATGAGGCAGACAGACAGTATCTCCCAGGTGGAAAATACTTCATCTATCTGAGCTAGGGGGCTTTAGTAGCAGAAGTTTCACCAGGGTCAGATCACCCTACCCGCAATCATAACCTCAACCAGTGGGGTGATGACAAAATAGCTGACCCTGTATCAGTTTGGGACCTACTTGTGGCAAGATCTAGGCAGGACAGAGTTGGGTGAAGTTTCCCACAGATGCTGATCTTGGGTCAATTTAGCATTTTCCTCACCAATGGTGGAGGTTAGGAATGGAGAAGCTGATACTACACTGAAAAATAAGTTACAGTTCATATAAGGAAATCAGTCAATTGAAATGAATTCATTAGGCCCTAATATATGGATTTCACAACTGGGAATACAGATATGCATCTGTTGGTCAGATACCTTTAAAAAAAAGGTAGGGGCGTGGATCAGAAAACCAGTCAGTATCTGGTCTGACCACCATTTGCCTCATGCAGCACAACACATCTCCTTCGCATAGAGTTGATCAGGCTGTTGATTGTGGCCTGTGGAATGTTATCCCACTCCTCTTCAATGGCTGTGAGAAGTTGCTGGATATTGGCGGTAACTGGAACATGCTGTCGTACACGTCGATCCAGAGCATTCCAAACATGGTCAATGGTTGACATGTCTGGTGAGTATGCAGGCAATGGAAGAACTGGAAAATGTTCAGCTTCCAGGAATTGTGTACAGATCCTTGCGACATGGGCCGTGCATTATCATGCTGAAACATGAGGTGATGGTGGCGGATGAATGGCACGACAGTGGGCCTCAGGATGTCGTCACGGTATCTCTGTGCATTCAAATTGCCATCGATAAAATGAAATTGTGTTCGTTGTCCGTAGCTTGTGCCTGCCCATACCATAGCCCCACCACCACCATGGGGCAGACTGTTCACAATGTTGACATCAGCAAACGCTCGCCCACACGACACCATACACTTTCTGCTATCTGCCCGGTACAGTTGAAACCGGGATTCATCCGTGAAGAGCACACTTCTCCAGCGTGCCAGTTAGCATCGAAGGTGAGCATTTGCCCACTGAAGCCGATTACGATGCCAAACTGCAGTCAGGTCATGACTATGGTGAGGACGACAACCACGCAGTTTCTGACAGTTTGTGCAAAAATGATTTGGTTGTGCAAACCCACAGTTTCATCAGCTGTCCGGGAGGCTGGTCTCAGACGACCCCGTAGGTGAAGAAGCTGGATGTGGATGTCCTGGGTTGACGTGGTTACATGTGGTCTGCGGTTGTGAGGCCTGTTGGACGTACTGCCAAATTCTCTAAAATGATGTTAGAGGTAGCTTAGGGTAGAGAAATGAACATTCATTGAACATTCAGCTCTGGTGGACATTGCTGCAGTCAGCATGCCAATTGCAGACTCCCTCAAAACTTGTGACATCTGTGGCATTGAATTGCGTGACAAAACTGAACATTTTAGAGTGGCCTTTTATTGTCCCCAGCACCTATGTAATGATCATGCTGTTCAATCAGCTTCATGCCGGCCGGCTCCGTCCTCCCCTCTTGCTCCGTGGCTTGACGACTCATTGCGAGCTCACAGAAGAGGGCTCCGGGCAGCTGAGCGGAAATGGAGGAAAACTAGACTCCCTGCGGACCTGTCATCTTTTCACTCCCTCCTCTCTACATTATTTTCCTCTGTTTCCGCTGCTAAAGCCACTTTCTACCACTCTACATTTCAAGCCTCTGCCTCTAACCCTAGGAAGCTCTTTGCCACCTTCTCCTCCCTGCTGAATCCTCCTCCTCCTCCCCCTCCCTCCTCCCTCCTCCCTCTCTGTGGATGACTTCGTCAACCATTTTGAAAAGAAGGTTGACGACATCCGACCCTCATTTATTAAGTCAAATGACACCGCTGGTCCTGCTCACACTGCCCTACCCTATGTTTTGACTTCTTTCTCCCCTCTCTCTCCAGATGAAATCTTGCGACTTGTGACGGCCGGCCGCCCAACAACCTGCCCGCTTGACCCTATCCCCTCCTCTCTTCTCCAGACCATTTCCGGAGACCTTCTCCCTTACCTCACCTCGCTCATCAACTCATCCTTGACCCCTGGCCATGTCCCTTCCGTCTTCAAGAGAGCGAGAGTTGCACCCCTCCTCAAAAAACCTACACTCGATCCCTTCGATGAACTACAGACCAGTATCCCTTCTTTATTTTCTCTCAAAAACTCTTGAGCGTGCCGTCTCTAGCCAACTCCTGCTATCTCTCTCAGAATGACCTTCTTGATCCAAACCAGTCAGGTTTCAAGATTGGTCATTCAACTGAGACTGCTCTTCTCTGTGTCACGGAGGCTCTCCGCACTGCTAAAGCTAACTCTCTCTCCTCTGCTCTTATCCTTCTAGACCTATCTGCTGCCTTTGATACTGTGAACCATCAGATCCTCCTCTCCACCCTCTCCGAGTTGGGCATCTCCGGCGCTGCTCACTCTTGGATTGCGTCCTACCTGACAGGTCGCTCCTACCAGGTGGCGTGGCGAGTCTCCGCACCACGTGCCCTCACCCCTGGTGTCCCCCAGGGCTCAGTTCACACCAAGTCACTTGGCTCTGTCATATCCTCACATGGTCTCTCCTATCATTGCTACGCAGATGACACACAATTAATTTTCTCCTTTCCCCCTTCTGATAACCAGGTGGCGAATCGCATCTCTGCACGTCTGGCAGACATATCAGTGTGGATGTCGGATCACCACCTCAAGCTGAACCTCGGCAAGACGGAGCTGCTCTTCCTCCCGGGGAAGGACTGCCCGCTCCATGATCTAGCCATCACGGTTGACAACTCCATTGTGTCCTCCTCCCAGAGTACAAAGAACCTTGGCGTGACCCTGGACATCACCCTGTCGTTCTCCACTAACATCAAAGCAGTGACCCGATCCTGCAGGTTCATGCTCTACAACATTCGCAGAGTACGACCCTACCTCACACAGAAAGCGGCACAGGTCCTAATCCAGGCACTTGTCATCTCCCGTCTGGATTACTACAACTCGCTGTTGGCTGGGCTCCCTGCCTGTGCCATTAAACCCCTACAATTTATCCAGAACGCTGCAGCCCGTCTGGTGTTCAACCTTCCCAAGTTCTCCCATGTCACCCCGCTCCTCCGCACACTCCACTGGCTTCCAGTTGAGGGTCGCATCTACTACAAGACCATGGTGCTTGCCTACGGAGCTGTGAGGGGAACGGCACCTCCTTACCTTCAGGCTCTGATCAGTCCCTACACCCAAACGAGGGCACTACGTGCATCCACCTCTGGCCTGCTAGCCCCCCTACCTCTACGGAAGCACAGTTCCCGCTCAGCCCAGTAAAAGCTATTCGCTGCTCTGGCACCCCAATGGTGGAACAAGCTCCCCCACAACGCCAGGACAGCGGAGTCACTGACCACCTTCTGGAGACACTTGAAACCCTACCTCTTTAAGGAATACCTGGAATAGTATAAAAGTAATCATTCTACCCCTCCCTCCCTCCCCCACCCCCCCATGGCTATCATAAGTTGAATGCACCAATTTGTAAGTCGCTCTGGATAAGAGCGTCTGCTAAATGATGTAAATGTAATTGTAATGATATGCCACACCTGTCAAGTGGATGGATTATCTTGGGAAACGAGAAATTGTCACTAACAGGGATGTAAACAAATTTGTGCACAACATTTGAGAGAATAAGCTTTTTGTGCATATGGAACATTTCTGGAATCTTTTATTTCAGCTCATGAAACATGGGACCAACACTTTACATGTTGCATTTATATTTTTGTTCAGTATAGATCGGAACCATTGGTTATTTTTATTTTATTGTTATAATGTGGCTTTATCAGGGTCAATTTAGGAAAGTACAAAACGTTCAGAAGCAGCTGTTATGTTTACCCAGCTAACAACTCTAGGGAGAGAGAACTTATTTTTATTTTATGTATATTTTTGTGTAATTATTTTACCCCCTTTTTCTCCCCAATTTCGTGGTATCCAATTGGTAGTTACAGTCTTGTCCCATCGCTGCAACTCCCATACGGACTCGGGAGAGGCGAAGGTTGAGAGCCGTGCGTCCTCCGAAACACAACCCAACTGCACTGCTTCTTGACACAATGTCCGCTTAACCCGGAAGCCAGCCGTACACAGCCGTACACATGGCGGCCGTGTCAGCGTGCAGGATTCGCTAGTGTGCGACATATTTCTCCCGGTCGCGGCCGGCTGCGACAGAGCCTAGCTCCAACCAGGACCTCTAGTGGCACAGCTAGCACTGTTCCCCTAACTTATGAGTGTCCATTAGTTAGGGGAACATTCTAGCAAAAAACCTTCTGAGAACCTTTTTAGCATGTTTTGGCATTATAGTTAAATCAAATGAAATGTTATTTGTCACATACACGTGTTTAGCAGATGTTATTGTGTAGCGAAATGCTTGTGCTTCTAGCTCCGACAGTGCAGTAATATCTAACAATTTCACACACAAATCTAAGTAAGGAATGGAATTAAGAATATATACATATATGGATAAGCAATGACAGAGCGGCATGGACTAAGACGCAGTAGAATATTATATAATACAGTATATACAGTGCCCTCCATTAATATTGTTAAATATGAGCAAAACGGGCAGTGACATTTTTTTCTTTATTGTTTATCCTCTTGGTCTTTCATTCAAAATATTCACAAAAATCTAACCTTTAATTAAAGTAAAATAATTGAAAGAAAAAATACATTCTTATCATGAAACAAATATTTTTCTCAAATATGTGTGCCACAATTATTGGCACCCCTTCATTCAATACTTTGTGCAACCTTCTTTTGCCAAGATAACAGCTCTGAGTCTTCTCCTATAATGCGTAATGAGGTTGGAGAACTCATGGCAAGGGATCTGAGACCATTCCTCCATACATAATCTCACCAGATCCTTTAGATTCCGAGGTCCACACTTGTGGACTCTCCTCTTCAGCTCATCCCACAGGTTTTCTATGGGGTTTAGTTAGGTCAGGGGACTGGGATGGCCATGGCAAAACTTTGATTCTGTGGTCAGTGAACCATTTTTGTGTTGATTTTGAGGTGTGCTTTGGATCATTGTCCTGCTGGAAGATCCAACCACGGCCCAGTTTAAGCTTCCTAGCAGAGGCAGTCAGGATTTGATTTAATATCTGGTGGTACTTGATGGAGTCCATGATACCATGTATCCTAACAAGTTGTCCAGGGTCTTTGGAAGAAAAACAGCCCCACAACATCAAAGATCCACCCCCACACTTCACAGTGGAGATGAGGTACTTCTCTGCATGGCTATCTTTCTGTCTACGGCAATTCCACCTCTGGTGTTTGTTTCCAAAAAGCTCTATTTTGGTCTCATCTGACCGTAGAACCCGGTCCCATTGAAAGTTCCAGTAACGTTTGGCAAACTGTAGGCGCTTGAGTTTGTTGTTTGATGACAGCAAAGGCTTTTTTATGGCAACCCTCCCAAACAACTTGTGGTTATGTAGGTGGCGTCTGATCGTAGTATTGGAGCCTTTCTGACCCCAAGACCCAACTACCCTCTGCACTTGAACCATCCTCCTCACTGTCCTCTTCCAGGCCGATTGTTAACATCTCCAGTTGCTTTAAACTTCTTAATTATTGCCCTGATAGTGGAAATGGGCATTTTCAACCGTTGAGCTATTTTCTTATAGCCATTTCCTGATTTGTGCAGCTCAACAACCTTTTGTCGCACATCATTACGTATTCTTGGGTCTTTTCCATTGTGATGGAGACTAAGGGGACTTGGCTGTGTGTCCACTCATATTTATACCCCCTGAAACAGGAAGTCATGGCTTCCACTTAGTGTTCCTAATCACTCAGGGTGAACTTCCAAACGTAGAAATATGAATGGGATATCCGTCAGTTAGTTTTACTCATATTATTCTAGTGGGTGCCAATAATTTTGGCACACATGTTGATGCAAAAACGTTTTTTAATCCATTAATTTCATATCAGATCTTTACTAAGGTTTTTTGTAGAACAATTTGAAGAAACCAGAAAATAACAGCATACTAAGACAGGTGCAATTAGTGCTACCGTACATATGAATGATATGCAAGATATGTAACCATAAGTGACTATGACTCTGGTGGCGCATGTCAACACTGCATCGAGTGCATGTGCCACTATGAACCTGGTCAGAATCCAGCTTGTCAAGCCGGCCGCAACTATGAGTGGCACATTGGCCGCGTCGTCCACCGTACAATGAATGAAGCCAGGTGTGTTTGATTCCCACGGGGCCCAGATAAAAAAAAAAAAAGAATAAAATTAAAGAAAAAAAAAAAAAAAAAAAAATTATTCATACTGTGTCCTGAAAAGCTTCTGCTAATAAAAAGTAAAGTAAAGTAGTGTTCCATTTCTTAAGTGGACAGTGATTTCAATATGCAGCAGCAGCCTCTAATGAACTAGTGATGGCTATTTAACAGTCTGATGGACTTGAGATAGAAGCTGTTTTTCATTCTCTCGGTCCCAGCTTTGATGCACCTGTACTGACCTCGCCTTCTGGATGATAGCGGGGTGAACAGGCAGTGGCTCGGGTGGTTGATGTTCTTGATAATCTTTTTGGCCTTCCTGTGACATCGGGTGCTGTAGGTGTCCTGGAGGGTGGGTAGTTTGCCCCCGGTAATGCGTTCGGCAGACCGCACCACCCTCTGGAGAGCCCTGCGGTTGCGGGCGGTGCAGTTGCCGTACCAGGCGGTGATACAGCCCGACAGGATGCTCTCAATTGTGCCTCTGTAAAAGTTTGTGAGGGTTTTTAGGTGCCAAGCCAAATTTCTTCAGCTTCCTGAGGTTGAAGAGGCTCTGTTGCGCCTTCTTCACCACACTGTCTGCATGGGTGGACCATTTCAGTTTGTCAGTGATGTGTACGCCAAGGAACTTGAAGCTTTACACCTTCTCCACTGCGGTCCCGTCGATGTGGATAGGTGGGTGCACCCTCTGCTGTTTCCTGAAGTCCACGATCATCTCCTTTGTTTTGTTGATGTTGAGTGAGAGGTTATTTTCCTGGCATCACACTCCCATAGCCCTCACCTCCTCCCTGTAGGCGGTCTCGTCGTTGTTGGTAATCAAGCCTACTACTATTGTGTCGTCTGCAAACTTGATGATTGAGTTGGAGGCGTGCTTGGCCACACAGTCATGGGTGAACAGGGAGTACAGGAAGGGGCTGAGCACGCACCCTTGTGGGGCCCCAGTGTTGAGGATCAGCGAAGTGGAGATTTGTTTCCTACCTTCACCACCTGGGGTGACCCGTCAGGAAGTCCAGGACCCAGTTGCACAGGGCGGGGTTCAGACCCAGGGCCCCGAGCTTAATGATGAGCTTGGAGGGTACTATGGTGTTGAAGGCTGAGCTATAGTCAATGAACAGCATTCTTACACAGCTATTCCTCTTGTCCAGATGGGACAGGGCAGTGTGATGGCGAGAGCATTCCCTTGTCAAACAGAACATCTATTTTTAGGCTGTCATTGAAATGGGCTACATGGGAGGAAAATTAGAATTTCTTAATTTATTTAAAGTTGGGGTTGTATATTACAAACCACATTACTTTAGACATTATACAAGACAAAATTATACAAGACAATGAACAGAAGAAAAACAGCATGTCTGTGCATGTCGGTTTTAAATCAATTTAGTGATCATGTCATGGTGTGTCCTTAACAACAACAAGTAGACCAATGACGTCAACTGTAAGAAACCGCTGACAGAAACTTAAACAAGAAGACAATTACAAATTCAGTAACATTCTGATAATTTTATAATGCTGTGTTCCTGAGTTGTTCCTGAGTGGTCTAGTCTCAGTCCTGACTTAAATTTGCTTGAAAATCAGAGACAAGGTTTGAATATTGCTGTCCATTAATGATTCCCAACCAAATTGAACTCGAGAGATTTTGACAAAAACAATGGGCATATGCTGCCCTAAGAGATGTGCAAAGTTGGTAGAACCTTACTCAAAATGATTCACAGCTGTAATGGCTGCCAAAAGGTGCTTCCACCAAGTATTAACTCTTGTGAAGACATACACAATCAAGACGTGTTCGTTTTTTGTATTAATTAGAAAAATTGTCTATAACTTTCTTTCACTTTGAAAATGTGGAGTTGCGTAGATCTGTATGAAACAAAACTATTTACTCCCTTTTTATATTTAATTTTAAGGCAGCAAAATGTGAAGACTGTGCAAGGGGTGTGTAGACTTCCACAAGGCACTATATGTCTTCTATCATGCCTATAATTAATTATATTTAATGTTAGAAGAATATAATAATTCTTCTAACATGCCTATAATGTGGTTACTAAATAGATTCTGGACCTATCCCCCACGGGGGGACGCGTGCGTGGCATTTTCATGGTTTGGTCGGACTCTTACATAATCTATGCAATTATTGCATTACACTGATGCTGTCATAATACCCTGCAATGCTGACAGTTTTAGTGTTGTGAAACAGTCCATTTCTTTCTCCTTCTCGTTCTTCTTTGTGCAGTTCTTCCTTTCCTTCCTTCAGTCCAAGAAAAAAATGTTGTTGAACTGTGTCGCACAGAGCTTATTCACTTCTTCTGTTGGATCAGCAAGCATAACCAAGAAAACAAAATCATTAATTCTTCCTTCAATCAATCTATCTATCTATCTATGTTGGACCTACCATTAACTTCAATCAAATTGACATTCTTCTGGTTCAAGATGACGTACAGCTCTCTCTGGTCCGACTTCTTGCCGACCACCCAGTAGTCGGTCATTGCCTTCACAATGATCTCTTCATCTTCATCAACCCTGAGGCAACAAAAAGCACATGAACATGAGGTCACTATAATATACTGTACTCAAAGAGAGCTGTCAAAACTAGGCCTCAGAGAGCTAACCCTAACAGGGTTGTATTTTTGTTGTGGTACATCGTCGTTGTGGTTAGTGCTTACCGGGCAAAGTCACAGTTGATGTCTCCCAGAATCTTCATGAGGTCTGGGTGGACGGAGGTCAGAGACACACTGGGTGTCTTCCTCATGTGGATGGTGCTCTTCTCTGCCAGGTTCATGTGGTTGAAGTAGATGAACTTGAACTGGGGGTCCTTGTCCGGCCTGCAACAACACAGAGGGAAAGGATGACGATCATTACAAGGATGAGAGGAGAGTCTACTGCCCTGTTCACACTACTGAGCCGAGATGAGCAGAGCCAAGCAGAACTAAGCAGAACTGTACTGTGCTAGCCTGATTGCGCATTCAACAGAGTTGCTGGAACCTTTCCAGGCCAATATGAAAATAAAATATCCTTGCCAGCACAATATGTTATGATAAAGGTAGACTCAGCGTTATGACGTTGCCACGAGCAGCACCGCAGATATTGAGATGAGCGCGATGCAAGACTTTGATCTCAGAGTCACACAGAGTATCTGAGCATTTGTATGCTTCACGTTGCTACACTGGGAAGCTACAGGACCACGACAGCAGAGAAGGTTAGCCTCGTGCTTCAACGCTCTTAGTTGTTGTGGAAATCGGCCCAATATTGCGGTTTACTTCGTGCATCATCAGTTTCTCCAGGTCATTGAGTTCATTGGTCCAATCATCAATGAAGGATGCCATGGCATGAACGCTTACCTTTTAAAAACACATTATGACAATAAGGTGAGATGGACACTCCTCTAGCAGGACGTTTTACTGACAGTCAAACTACAGGCATCAATAATAGATAGATTGAAGCCATGCTACCCATTTTGGTAGTCCCGAGAATCAAACCCACTATATTGGCATTGCAAGCGCCATGCTCAACCAACCTCCACACAGTTCCGGTCAGGCTTTGAGCCAGCTCCCTGAGAACTTTTGGCAGCCATTAGTAATTCCGACCATTCTTCACTACTATGATAAATGGAACCCATCATCAAATTGTCTAAGAGTCCAGACTTGGGTTACAGTAGCATGCTTATCTTAAACAAGCTGTTGTAAGGAGTGCAGGCCAGTGTGCCTAACCCCTGGGGTAAGACTGGGGCCGTAGTAATGTTTCCCTGAGTAACACTGCGATATCAGATGGTTATATGGCGTCTCATCTAACTCTTAACGTCATTGTCAGCCAAATGTAGGGCAAGATTTGAGTTCACTTCAGTGACTGTTAACAGTAACACTGCTGGTGGTCCCCATTCTGACAAACAGAGAAGTGGCTCGTGTTAAAACAACTAAAATAAAACTGTTTGGCTGCTCAACAGTCTTCCAGTCCAAATTCAATTACATTCAATTGCTCCTGATAAGGGCAAGCTCCACTTCAGTGCATGCTGTGACAATAGTCTCTAGCTGTTGTATTTATAAGGGGTTAGTCTCTTGTGAAAGACGAATCTGGCAAGCGCGCATGTGAGATTTGGTTCCGGATGCTACGTTTAATGAGGGGTCGGGTCGACTGTACACCCCTTTCAATATTTCGGACCATAATCTCTATCATTGCGTGTTGAAGCAACACAGTCCCAGGAATTGGAGTGGAGGTTAGAGGCTTTGCAGATTAAAGTAACAGTACTGACCCTGATATCCTGCGGTTGATGTTGTACTGTTCACATATGTCTGAGGCCAGCAGGGTGAGCTGAGGTCCCACCATGCCATCCAGCTGCTCACAGAACTCCCTCGTCAGCTCCACCAACGCTGGGAGAGAGAGAGAATATGATCATACAGTTAGAATTAGTAGAATGGATTTAGGAACTTATAAAAATCAATACGTTTTTTTATTTCACGGTCCACATAATATGGCAACACTGTAGAATTTGCCAAGAATTTACCGTTGTTGTATTCGGAAGAACACTGGAAACAGCCGACTCAGAGAATGTAATAAGCATCAGCCCAGCTGTTTAAAGGGGGGGGGGGGGTGACCAAATTATATGAGAGGATACTCACTGCTGATCATAAAACAAACCGCTGCATTCATCGACTGAAATAAAGCAGACAATGTGCTGTTTCAATACAATGGGTCTAGAGAAAGGAATACTATAATTTAGAACCTATTACCAAACACATTGAATTTATGAATCATTTAAGGAAGCCATTTGAGAGACCAGAGAACAAAGCAGTCTATTCCCAACAAGAGGTCAACTTGGGTCAAACCCTCCCTCTGTTCTTCAGTTATGAAATAATAACAGATTACCAAATTGTCTGCCAAACAAATAATGGGTTGGGAGTACTACCCATCTGGCTCTCTTTAAAACATAAAAAATAAAGCCTCTTTGGGTGATTTCCATAATTAATGCTACCGAGTTCCCACGAACCCAGACCACAGTTCCCTTATCCTTAGTTGCGTCCCAAATGACCTCCCTTTTCCCTATGTAGTGTACTTCTTTTGACCAGAGCCCTGCACTACTTTTGACTAGAGCCCTATGGTCAAACGTAGTGCACTATATAGGGAGTATGTTGCTATTTGGAACACAGCCCTCTCCTCACCTTATAAACGATCAAATGCAGCTCCTCATAACTGTCCTCTGTGTTAACAAATATTCTGGGGAAGCGGAATTTGGCCTCTGGGTCTTTGAGGTTAGCAGGTCCCGTCAAAAACCTGAGGGTGGAGAGAGGACAGGATATGAAAAGGAGGATGCATCACAGCTCATCATGATTACTGTGAATGACAAGGGTGTTTCACAATCACAGAACAAATCTAGTTTGATACAAATCAAAAACTGTTTTACCTCACAAATAATAGCATAGAAATTGCCTGAGACAAAACATTTAAGTGATGCAGGCCTAAAAATAACAAATGAATACAGTGAATCCCCAAGTCACGAATGCCGTTTGTAAATGTATATGTGGGCCTACAGCAGGTTTGTAGACTGTGTGGGTTTGCATACTGTGTGTGCGTACGTACTGTACGTGCGTGCGACCGTTCCATAATTTACACTAACATTTCTCCCTGCCCTTGGGGCCTTTGCTGGATAATCTCCTTGTTAAATGATCCTCTCTCTCTCTCTGTGTATCCCAGGAGTCAGCCCGGGATTGGAGTGTCCAATTCCCCTCGCAGTCACGAATCACACCGGCGGCAGCACGCTCTCAGGGCTATTTCAGCCACAACCGTTGCTGACATGTGTATAAAATCAAGCACACAGCCATCCGATCTCCACAGACAAACATTAGCAGTAGAATGGCCTTATTGAAGAGCTCAGTGACTTTCAACATGGCACTGTCATAGGATGTCACCTTTCCAACAAGTCAGTTCATCAAATTTCTGCCCTGTTAGAGCTGCCCCGGTCAACTGTAAGTGCTGTTATTGTGATGTGGAAATGTCTAGGAGCAACAACGGCTCAGCCACGAAGTGGTAGGCCACACAAGCTCACAGAACGGGACCACCGAGTGCTGAAGCGCGTAGTGCGTAAAAATCGTCTGTCCTCAGTTGCAACACTCACTACCGAGTTCCAAACTGCCTCTGGAAGCAACGTCAGCACAATAACTGTTCGTTGGGAGCTTCATGAAATGGGTTTCCATGGCCGAGCAGCCGCACACAAGCCTATGATCACCATGCGCAATGCCAAGCGTCGGCTGGAGTGGTGTAAAGCTCGCCGCCATTTGACTCTGGAGTAGTGGAAACGCGTTCTCCGGAGTGATGAATCACGCTTCACCATCTGGCAGTCCGACGGACGAATCTGGGTTTGGCGGATGCCAGGAGAATGCTACCTGCTCGAATGCATAGTACCAACTGTAAAGTTTGGTGGAGAAGGAATAATGGTCTGGAGCTGTTTTTCAAGGTTCGGTCTAGGCCCCATAGTTCAAGTGAAGGGAAATCTTAAAGCTACAGCTTACAATTACATTCTAGACGATTCTGTGCTTCCAACTTTGTGGCAACAGTTGGGGAAGGCCCTTTCCTATTTCAGCATTACAATGCCCCCGTGCACAAAGCGAGGTCCATACAGAAATGGTTTGTCGAGATCGGTGTGGAAGAACTTGACTGGCCTGCACAGAGCCCTGACCTCAACCCCATCTAACACCTTTGGGATGAATTAGAACACTGAATGCGAGCCAGGCCTAATCGCCCAACATCAGTGCCGACCTCACTAATGCTCCCCGCAGCAATGTTTCAACATCTAGTGGAAAGCCTTCCCCGAAGAGTGGAGGCTGTTATAGCATTAAAGGGGGGACCAACTCCATATTAATGCCCATGATTTTGCATTAGATGTTCGACGAGCAGGTGTCCACATACTTTTGCCATGTAGTGTATCTCCTCCTTTCTCCCTCTCAAGCACAGAGGGCTCTAAGGTGGACTAGGCTACACAGGGACTCTTAAATAGCTTAGCTCTCCCTCTCTCTCGCTGTTAAGTGTGATCCCAGAGTCAGTCCCCCTCCTTTGTGTCTGTGTGTAGGATGATAGAGAAATCTAATGTCAGCGGGGTAAGAACACGTCGTGTTGGAACACTGATCAGCAATCCTCCATGGGGAGGGGACCAGAGAGGGCGTTTAAGGATTTACCTCCCATAGTGAAGCAGATTCCCTGCCACCTCTGGTGTTAGGGGAGAGTCCCTACCAGCCAGCTGGAGAGAGACAGGGAGAGAAGGAGTGGGTGGAGAAGAGAGACAGGGAGAGAGGGGGAGAGAGGGAGTGGGTGGAGAAGAGAGACAGGGAGAGAGAGAGAGGGAGTGGGTGGAGAAGAGAGACAGGGAGAGAGGGGAGAGAGGGAGTGGGTGGAGAAGAGAGACAGGGAGAGAGCGGGGGTAGGGAGTGGGTGGAGAGAGAGACAGGGAGAGAGACAGGAGAGAGGGGGTGTGGGTGAGAAGAGAGAAGGGAGAGAGGGAGTGGGTGGAGAAGAGAGACAGGAGAGAGACAGGAAGAGGGGGGGAGAGGGAGTGGTGTGAGAAGAGAGAGGGGAGAGAGGGAGGGGTGGAGAAGAGAGACAGGGAGAGAGACAGGAAGAGAGGGGGGAGAGGGAGTGGGTGGAGAGAGAAAAGGGAGAAAAGGGGGAGAGAGGGAGTGGGTGGAGAAGAAGAGAGACAGGGAGAGAGACAGGGAGAGATGGAGTGGGTGGAGAAGAGAGACAGGGAGAGAGGGAGTGGGTGGAGAAGAGAGACAGGGAGAGAGACAGGAAGAGAGGGGGGAGAGGGAGTGGGTGGAGAAGAGAGAGGGGGAGAGAGGGAGTGGGTGGAGAAGAGAGACAGGGAGAGAGGGGGAGAGGGTGGAGAAGAGAGACAGGGAGAGAGGGAGTGGGTGGAGAAGAGAGACAGGGAGAGAGGGAGTGGGTGGAGAAGAGAGACAGGGAGAGAGGGAGTGGGTGGAGAAGAGAGACAGGGAGAGAGGGAGTGGGTGGAGAAGAGAGACAGGGAGAAAACCTGCTTTAATATAACTTCACAAATCATTATCAACATTCTCTGGAGCCTGTGGGGTAACAATGTGTAGTAAACTACAACCTGCCCGCTTGACCCTATCCCCTCCTCTCTTCTCCAGACCATCTCCGGTGACCTTCTCCCTTACCTCACCTCGCTCATCAACTCATCCTTGACCACTGGCTATGTCCCTTCCGTCTTCAAGAGAGCGAGAGTTGCACCCCTTCTCAAAAAACCTACACTCGATCCCTCCGATGTCAACAACTATAGACCAGTATCTCTTCTTTCTTTTCTCTCCAAAACTCTTGAGCGTGCCGTCTTTAGCCAACTCTCTTGCTATCTCTCTCAGAATTACCTTCTTGATCCAAACTAGTCAGGTTTCAAGACTGGTCATTCAACTGAGACTGCTCTTCTCTGTGTCACGGAGGCTCTCCGCACTGCTAAAGCTAACTCTCTCTCCTCTGCTCTTGTCCTTCTAGACCTGTCTGCTGCCTTTGATACTGTGAACCATCAGATCCTCCTCTCCACCCTCTCCGAGTTGGGCATCTCCGGCGCGGCTCACTCTTGGATTGCGTCCTACCTGACAGGTCGCTCCTACCAAGTGGCGTGGCGAGAATCTGTCTCCGCACCACGTGCTCTCACCACTGGTGTCCCCGAGGGCTCAGCTCTAGGCCCTCTCCTATTCTCGCTATACACCAAGTCACTTGGCTCGGTCATATCCTCACATGGCCTCTCCTATCATTGCTACGCAGACGACACACAACTAATCTTCTCCTTTCCCCCTTCTGATAACCAGGTGGCGAATCGCATCTCTGCATGTCTGGCAGACATATCAGTGTGGATGACGGATCACCACCTCAAGCTGAACCTCGGCAAGACGGAGCTGCTCTTCCTTCCGGGGAAGGACTGCCCGTTCCATGATCTCGCCATCACGGTTGACAACTCTGTTGTGTCCTCCTCCCAGAGTGCAAAGAGCCTTGGCGTGACCCTGGACATCACCCTGTCGTTCTCCGCTAACATCAAGGCGGTGACCCGATCCTGTAGGTTCATGCTCTACAACATTCGGAGAGTACGACCCTGCCTTACACAGGAAGCGGCACAGGTCCTAATCCAGGCACTTGTCATCTCCCGTCTGGATTACTGCAGCTCGCTGTTGGCTGGGCTCCCTGCCTGTGCCATTAAACCCCTACAACTCATCCAGAATGCCGCAGCCCGTCTGGTGTTCAACCTTCCCAAGTTCTCTCACGTCACCCCGCTCCTCCGCACACTCCACTGGCTTCCAGTTGAAGCAGCTTGCATCTGCTACAAGACCATGGTGCTTGCCTATGGAGCTGTGAGGGGAACGGCACCTCCGTACCTTCAGGCTCTGATCAGTCCCTACACCCAAATGAGGGCATTGCGTTCATCCACCTCTGGCCTGCTGGCCCCCCTACCTCTGCGGAAGCACAGTTCCCGCTCAGCCCAGTCAAAACTGTTCACTGCTCTGGCACCCCAATGGTGGAACAAGCTCCCTCACGATGCCAGGACAGCGGAGTCACTCACCACCTTCCGGAGACACTTGAAACCCCACCTCTTTAAGGAATAACTGGGATAGGATAAAGCAATCCTTCTACCCCCCCTTACCCCACCCCAAAGAAAAATAAATAAATAAGAAAACATATTGTAAAGTGGTTATCCCACTGGCTATAAGGTGAATGCACCAATTTGTAAGTCGCTCTGGATAAGAGCGTCTGCTAAATGACGTAAATGTAACTAATTGTGCCTGTTACATTCGTCGGTCAAATATGCTGTTTAGGTTTTCTACTGCCAAGTTTACACCTTCACTACTACAGTGAAACATTTTGTCCAGGAAGGTGTATAAAAGGGATTGAATTTGTTGTTGCCTAATTGTTTTTTGGTAGGTTTCTACACTACTGTTTTTCCATCTACACACACACACACCTCTGGTTCGGAGTGTCTGGGGAACAGTGATGTCGTCAGGTACTTGTACAGGATCCGCATGTCATCCTGCACCAGACCACTCCTGCATGGGGACAACAAAAAAAGGGACACACCTTAGTTAGCATCAACCATTTCCTGTTCCTGTTCAGAGTCTGTTCAGGAGTATTGATAAACTAAGCCCATCATCTCCATGGTAGGCCCAATGCTATCAAAACTGCTCCTTTGATTAGCAATCAATCAAATCATTACAATCATTCTATTATCGTTCACGTAATCCCCTGATTAGATACAGTGCCTTGCAAAAGTATTCATCCCCTTTGGCGTTTTTCCTATTTTGTTGCATTACAACCTGTAATTTAAATGGATTTTTATTTGGACTTCATCTAATGGACATACACAAAATAGTCCAAATTGGTGAAGTGTGTTGTTTCAAATAATTCAAAAAAAATAAATAACGGAAAAGTGGTGCGTGCATATGTATTCACCCCCTTTGCTATGAAGCCCCTAAATAAGATCTGGTGCGACCAATTACATTCAGAAGTCACATAATTAGTTAAATAAAGTCCACCTGTGTGCAATCTAAGTGTCACATGATCTGTCACATGATCTCAGTATATATACAGTGGGGGAAAAAAGTATTTAGTCAGCCACCAATTGTGCAAGTTCTCCCACTTAAAATGATGAGAGAGGCCTGTAATTTTCATCATAGGTACATGTCAACTATGACAGACAAAATGAGATTTTTTTTCTCCAGAAAATCACATTGTAGGATTTTTTATGAATTTATTTGCAAATTATGGTGGAAAATAAGTATTTGGTCAATAACAAAAGTTTCTCAATACTTTGTTATATACCCTTTGTTGGCAATGACACAGGTCAAACGTTTTCTGTAAGTCTTCACAAGGTTTTCACACACTGTTGCTGGTATTTTGGCCCATTCCTCCATGCAGATCTCCTCTAGAGCAGTGATGTTTTGGGGCTGTCGCTGGGCAACACGGACTTTCAACTCCCTCCAAAGATTTTCTATGGGGTTGAGATCTGGAGACTGGCTAGGCCACTCCAGGACCTTGAAATGCTTCTTACGAAAGCCACTCCTTCGTTGCCCGGGCGGTGTGTTTGGGATCATTGTCATGCTGAAAGACCCAGCCACATTTCATCTTCAATGCCCTTGCTGATGGAAGGAGGTTTTCACTCAAAATCTCACGATACATGGCCCCATTCATTCTTTCCTTTACACGGATCAGTCATCCTGGTCCCTTTGTAGAAAAACAGCCCCAAAGCATGATGTTTCCACCCCCATGCTTCACAGTAGGTATGGTGTTCTTTGGATGCAACTCGGCATTCTTTGTCCTCCAAACACGACGAGTTGAGTTTTTACCAAAAAGTTATATTTTGGTTTCATCTGACCATATGACATTCTCCCAATCCTCTTCTGGATCATCCAAATGCACTCTAGCAAACTTCAGACGGGCCTGGACATGTACTGGCTTAAGCAAGGGGACACGTCTGGCACTGCAGGATTTGAGTCCCTGGCGGCGTAGTGTGTTACTGATGGTAGGCTTTGTTACTTTGGTCCCAGCTCTCTGCAGGTCATTCACTAGGTCCCCCCGTGTGGTTCTGGGATTTTTGCTCACCGTTCTTGTGATCATTTTGACCCCACGGGGTGAGAACTTGCGTGGAGCCCCAGATCGAGGGAGATTATCAGTGGTCTTGTATGTCTTCCATTTCCTAATAATTGCTCCCACAGTTGATTTCTTCAAACCAAGCTGCTTACCTATTGCAGATTCAGTCTTCCCAGCCTGGTGCAGGTCTACAATTTTGTTTCTGGTGTCCTTTGACAGCTCTTTGGTCTTGGCCATAGTGGAGTTTGGAGTGTGACTGTTTGAGGTTGTGGACAGGTGTCTTTTATACTGATAACAAGTTCAAACAGGTGCCATTAATACAGGTAACGAGTGGAGGACAGAGGAGCCTCTTAAAGAAGAAGTTACAGGTCTGTGAGAGCCAGAAATCTTGCTTGTTTGTAGGTGACCAAATACTTATTTTCCACCATAATTTGCAAATAAATTCATAAAAAATCCTACAATGTGATTTTCTGGATTTTCTTTCCTCAATTTGTCTGTCATAGTTGACGTGCACCTATGATGAAAATTACAGGCCTCTCTCATCTTTTTAAATGGGAGAACTTGCACAATTGGTGGCTGACTAAATACTTTTTTCCCCCACTGTATATACACCTGTTCTGAAAGGCCCCAGAGTCTGCAACACCACCAAGCAAGCGGCACCACCAAGCAAGCGCCACCATGAAGACCAAGGAGCTCTCCAAACAGGTCAGGGACAAAGTTGTGGAGAAGTACAGATCAGGGTTGGGTTATAAAAAAATATCTGAAACTTTGAACATCCCACGGAGCACCATTAAATCCATTATTAAAAAATTGAAAGAATATGCCAAGAGAGGGCCGCCCACCAAAACTCACGGACCAGGCAAGGAGGGCATTAATCAGAGAGGCAACAAAGACACCAAAGATAACCCTGAAGGAGCTGCAAAGCTCCACAGCGGAGATTGGAGTATCTATCCATAGCACCACTTTAAGCCGTACACTCCACAGAGCTGGGCTTTACGGAAGAGTGGCCAGAAAAAAAGCAATTGCTTAAAGAAAAAAATATGCAAACGTTTGGTGTTCGCCAAAAAGCATGTGGGAGACTCCCCAACATATGGAAGAAGGTATTCTGGTCAGATAAGACTAAAATTGAGCTTTTTGGCCATCAAGAAAAACGCTATGTCTGGCGCAAACCCAACACCTCTCATCATCCCGAGAACACCATCCCCACAGTGAAGCATGGTGGTGGCAGCATCATGCTGTGGGGATGTTTTCCATCGGCAGGGACTGGGAAACTGGTCAGAATTGAAGGAATGATGGATGGCGCTAAATACAGGGAAATTCTTGAGGGAAACCTGTTTCAGTCTTCCAGAGATTTGAGACTGGGACGGAGGTTCACCTTCCAGCAGGACAATGACCCTAAGCATACTGCTAAAGCTACACTCAAGTGGTTTAAGGGGAAACATTTAAATGTCTTGGAATGGCCTAGTCAAAGCCCAGACCTCAATCCAATTGAGAATCTGTGGTATGACTTAAAGATTGCTGTACACCAGCAGAACCCATCCAACTTCATGGAGCTGGAGCAGTTTTGCCAGTGGCTAGATGTGCCAAGCTTATAGAGACATACCCCAAGAGACTTGCAGCTGTAATTGCTGCAAAAAGTGGCTCTACAAAGTATTGACTTTAGGGGGGGGGAATAGTTATGCACGCTCAAGTTCTGTTTTTTTGTCTTATTTCTTGTTTGTTTCACAAGAAAAAATATTTTGCATCTTCAAAGTGGTAGGCATGTTGTGTAAATGAAATGATACAAACCCCCAAAAAATCCATTTTAATTCCAGGTAAGGCAACAATATAGGAAAAATGCCAAGGGGGGGGGGGTGAATACTTTCGCAAGCCCTGGTTTCAGTTCAGACCGATAGTTCAAAGTGAGAGACATGTCGGGATGGGAGTTACTGTAATCAGATTAAGGTGTATTTAAAGTCTCCTCTGTGCCTCCCAGCCAAGGTCTAGCCAGCCCCAACCCTAATGGGATGAGGAGCTGCCAGGCTCCCCCACACCTTACAGTGGTGAAGGGCTGCCTGGAGGCACCAAGGGCCTGCAGGCTATTTATAAGATCAGGGCCCTGGCACACACACAACACATACCCAGGAGGGGAAGCCCAATAAGCTCTCTCCTCCCCTCCCTTGGCTTTGGCGTGAAAAAGAGCCTACTAGATACAGAGCCAGTTGAACGGTGGAGCAGCCTGTGTCTCAAGATCATGCAAGAATACAATTCAGAGCTTATGTTTCTCCAACCAGTTCTGTTAGCTTCATTCCTACCCGTGCATTTGCAAATTGTAGGCTAAATTTGGTTTCTACATGTGGGCAGGTGTTTAAGACCAAAGTACAGCAGACCACCCCCACACATCTGCTTCCCCCAGCCGTACCATATGAGCTGGTCGTTGTAGAGAAAGGCTGTGCATTTGATTAGGCTGAGGCTCTCCTCCACTCTGTTGACGAATGACTGGATCTTCAGGTAGGTCATCTTGTCCAGGGGGAAAAAGGTGATTCCCCCGAACACGTCCAGCAGGTCACAGGACTGCAGGTGCAGCGTCTGCAGGTACTGGAGGAGACCAGGGGACAGTTATTTTTTATTTATTTTACCTTTAGTTAACTAGGCAAGTCAGTTAAGAACAAATTCTTATTTACAATGACGGCCTACACCGGCCCAACCCGGACGACGCTGGGCCAATTGTGCGCCACCCTATGGGACTCCCAATCACGGCCGGTTGTGATACAGCCTGGAATTGAACCAGGGGGTCTGTAGTGACGCCTCAAACACTGAGATGCAGTGCCTTAGACCGCTGCGCCACTCAGGAGCCCAGGCTGGGTGGACAATGGAAGGTGAATAGAAAGACATGTCTCTGTTTGGTTAATAGCCATCAGTGATACTTGGGGAAGGTGAAGTGTTAGCTTAGAAAGCAACGTTATACACACATCCCATTATGCTCAGATTTCATATCTGAGAAAACTTATTAAGAAACACAAAAGGTCTGCACACTGTATGCTGGACAATACAATGCTCCCATTTCCAGCTTCAATAGCAACAATATTTCTGTCCAAGGTGGACCTCTGTTAGGTCAAACCTGGAGATATTAGTTTACCTGCATAGTGCTTACATTGCTGTTCCCAAAGACAAGACAGGACGCTCTCTAGAATTGCTAGAACAGTGACATTCAACCTGGGATACCATACAGACACCACAGGCCCTCTCTGTGTCTTTAGGTTACATAATGGAAGGGAAAGCCCTTGATAGGATTAGGGAGAGCTGGGGGTTTCCTCTGATTGGCTAGGTATGAATAATGAACACAGGTCATTGATGTAAATGGACTGGGCCTGTATTATGGTGGATGCTTTGACCAGCTCTCCTTGAGGAAGGGCTATTTCTGAGCAGGGATAATTAGTGGGAGAGGCCTTATTTGAAGACTGTCATCTGATCCTGCATTTAGTCACTGGAAAATCAATACAAGATCAACCCCTCTGATGATGGCTAGAAGCACCAGTAGCATCTGTCAAGCAGGCAGCCTGGCCTGGACACCACCATCAAACTGTTAGCAAAGTGGATAGCATATACGCATTGTAGCTTACAACACCGAATGCGAATGTCTTCACAGTAAAACTAGGACAGCTAAGGCTGCGTTTAGATGGTACGAGGTAGACGGCAAACCGTATGTCATTGTTTTCAATGTCAGCACGACGGTAAATGCCGTTGACCTGGCGGTGAATGCTGTCAGCCGCCACGGTAGATGGGACTCGCCGCCAAAGTTCAAATATTTAAACTTTTGCCGTAGCGTTGTTTTACTACCGGATGTTGATTTGCCCTGTTGTTTACTGACATCACCATAACAACGCATACAGTCGTGCTGGCTTGGTTTTGCCGTCACACTCTTTCTTGCTTTCTTGTCCCGCTATGCCAACTGGTATGACGGTTTTTGCGTCCCTGGTCTAAACGCAGCATAAGAGGTAGGACATACTAAGAAGTAAGAGTCAATGGGTGTCTAATATATACGTTATTTTTACAAAGATATGCTAATCAATTTCACAAGTAATAAAGAATCCGGCATTGAAATAGCAGTGCCCTGCTCCTAGGAAAACATTTGAGAAAACACAACGTGCTTGGACGATTTCAGTTGAACAGTGCAATCAAGCTACATTTCTCAAAGTATATAGGCACACGTGTAAAACAAAATGTTCTGCATCCAATAAAACATTACAAATAACTCCCCACCTAGTGCCCCAATCATCATGCATATAGATGCAGAGAAGCATTTACTATGTAGTGTTTGATTTGTTTTACCCTGTAGAAGAACGTTTCGAGCTTCTGCATCAGCAGCTCCACCCCGCCTGCTTCCATTGCTCTGCCAAATGTGCCGTTGAAGAGCTGGAGAAAAGAGCAGCGTAAAGAACCATCAGCTAAACACATCCTTACTAGATGTAAGGTTCTTACACAATCTTTACTAAAGAATGTGGGCCAGTATGACTTGAGTTATACTCCCGAGCCCCAACCAGGTGCTCACCTTGTACATACTGTAGCATTCCCGTAGTACTGCACCATAAACTGTGTCCTACAGGAACAAATGAGAATAAACATCTGAATAAGAAATAAAAGTTCTGCAAAGAAGAGTTGAATTCACTCTTATATAGACAAAGATCAATAAACATGAATAAAAGACGCAACAAAATAAGACTTACAAGTATTTCCTCTTCCTGATATTCTATTGAAGGAGGTTTCCCATCTTTATTGGGTTTTTCTCCCATCGGGTTCCGTACCACCTGGACAGGTAGAGGAGAGGTATTATTGATTTAAAAGTATCCTAGGATACCTAATGACTTCTCAAAAAGACAAGTAGAGGGCGCAACCACTGAGTGTACAAAACATTAGGAACACCTGCTCTTTCCATGACAGACTGACCAGGTGAAAGCTATGATCCCTTATTGATGTCACCTGTTAAATCCACTTCAATCAGTGTAGATGAAGGAGGATACAGGTTCACAAAGGATTTTTAAGCCTTGAGACATGGATTGTGTATCATTCAGAGGGTGAATGGGCAAGACAAAATATTTAAGTGCCTTTGAAATGGGGTATGGTAGTAGGTGCACCAGTTTGATTGTGTCAAGAACTACAATGCTGCTGGGTTTGTCATGCTCAACAGTTTCCCGTGTGTATCAAGAATGGTCCACCACCCAAAGGACATCCAAGTAACTTGACAACTGTGGGAAGCATTGGAGTCAACATGGGCCAGCATCCCTTTGGAACGCTTTCGACACCTTGTAGAATCCATGCCCCGACGAATTGAGGCTGTTCTGAGGGCAAAAGGGGGTGCAAATCAATCTTAGGAAGTGTTCTTAATGTTTTGTACACTCAATTTATAATATGTGTAAAGGAGCTGGAACACCAGCGTACCATGACGATCCAGAAACTGTCCTCCGCTTCAAAGAAATACTGCCTGTTCTTCTGTGTGTGGAGGGATTTAGCAGGCTTTGTTTGACAGAAGGTTCTGGAATATAGCAAAGATGGTGGTCAGGCCAGGGGATAGGAAGTCAATACACACAACTAACATAGATGTAAGATGTATTTCCAGATGATTGATTTGTTAGTAGTTCTTGTGTACCTGGTAAACTGTACAATGGCCTCACAAAGGCCGACATTACGGAGCTTCTCATTCTTCTCAACCTCACTAGGATGGTAGAATAAAATCTTCTTCTCCTCCTATAATACATTCAAGGAGACAGTTTCCATGAGGCACAGTATTTAAATGGAGACCACAAAGTTGACATATTCACATTGTATAATTTAAAGCAGCAAACATTGAGCTGATGAAGAGTTCATGTTCGCTTTGGTTGAAGTTCACAGTGAGAACATGTGAAACACACACAGGAGATCAAAACCACCAAGTGGAGCTCACCTCTCCCTCCCGAGGCCCAAATGAAGGATTATAGATGAAAAAACTGAGTAGAGATGGAGTGTACTGTATCTCTTGCATTCCCGAAGCCATTCTTGGACTGCAACAGAGAAAGATGCTGATCAACTATCTGTGACTGAACAGACTAAAAGATGTATCACCTGTTATCACAATAAGACACTGGTTTTACCTAATCATTAGTATGGTTTGTGTCTGGACTTCCTCTGTTCCAAAGTGAATTGAGCCTTGTGGCTGAAAACAAAAATAATATCCGCTTTAAACTCTACACATCATTTCAGAGAATCAGTGAGTCAGTGACAGTAAATTGCATCAAAAGCTCAATCTCAATATCTTGAACCAGGGCTGAAAGATACAGTTGAAGTCGGAAGTTTACATACACCTTAGCCAAATACATTTAAACTCAGTTTTTCACAATTCCTGACATTTAATCCTAGTAAAAATTCCCTGTCTTAGGTCAGTTAGGATCACCACTTTATTCTAAGAATGTGAAATGTCAAAATAATCTTAGAGAGAATGATTTATTTCAGCTTTTATTTCTTTCATCACATTCCCAGTGGGTCAGAAGTTTACATACACTCAATTAGTATTTGGTATCATTGCCTTTAAATTGTTTAACTAGGGTCAAACTTGTCAGGTAGCCTTCCACAAGGTTCCCACAATAAGTTGGGTGAATTTTGTCCCATTCCTCCTGACAGAGCTGGTGTAACTGAGTCAGGTTTGTAGGCCTCCTTGCTCACACACACTTTTTCAGTTCTGCCCACAAATTTTCTATGGGATTGAGGTCAGGGCTTTGTGATGGCCACTCCAATACCTTGACTTTGTTTTTCTTAAGCGATTTTGCCACAACTTTGGAAGTATGCTTGGGGTCATTGTCCATTTGGAAGACCCATTTGCGACCATGCTTTAACTTTCTGACTGATGTCTTGAGATGTTGCTTCAATATATCCACATAATTTTCCTTCCTCATGATGCCATTTATTTTGTGAAGTGCACCAGTCCCTCCTGCAGCAAAGCATCCCCAGAGTGTGATGCTGCCACCCCGTGCTTCACGGTTGGGATGGTGTTCTTCAGCTTACAAGCCTTCCCCTTTTTCCTCCAAACATAACGTTGGTCATTATGGCCAAACAGTTCTATTTGTGTTTCATCATACCAGAGGACATTTCTCCAAAAAGTACGATCTTTGTCCCCATGTGCAGTTGCAAACTGTAGTCTGGCTTTTTTTATGGTGGTTTTGGAGCAGTGGCTTCTTCCCTGCAGAGCTGCCTATCAGGTTATGTCGATATAGGACTCGTTTTACTGTGGATATAGATACTTTTGTACCTGTTTCCTCAGGCATCTTCACAAGGTCCTTTGCTGTTCTGGAATTGATTTGCACTTTTCACACCAAAGTACGTTCATTTTTAGGAGACAGAACACGTCTCCTTCCTGAGCAGTATGACGGCTGTGTGGTCCCATGGTGTTTATACTTGCATACTATTGTTTGTACAGATGAACGTGGTACCTTCAGGCGTTTGGTAATTGCTCCCAAGGATGAACCAGACTTGTGGAGGTCTACAATTTTTTTACTGAGGTCTTGGCTGATTTCTTTTGATTTTCCCATGATGTCAAGCAAAGAGGCGCTGAGTTTGAAGGTAGGCCTTGAAATACATCCACAGGTACACCTCCAATTGACTCAAATGATGTCAATTAGCCTATCAGAAGCTTCTAAAGCCATGACATCATTTTCTGGAATTTTCCAAGCTGTTTAAAGGCACAGTCAACTTAGTGTATGTAAACTTCTGACCCACTGGAATTGTGATACAGTGAATTATAAGTGAAATAATCTGTCTGTAAACAATTGTTGGAAAAATTACTTGTGTCATGCACAAAGTAGATGTCCTAACCGACTTGCCAAAACTATAGTTTGTTAGCAAGAAATGTGTGGAGTGGTTGAAAAACGAGTTTTAATGACTCCAACCTACGTGTATGTAAACTTCCGACTTCAACTGTAGGTATGCATTTTCTGATCTGCACACCTTCCACTGGGTTAGAGAGAAATCTCAAGTCAAGTGGCACACTCACACCAGCCAGCAATACAGCTACTAGTACTAGCTAGCTGTAGAAATGTATCCTAACTAAAACACATCAGGTGCATGGCTAACTGATTTCCTTTATGTGGCTTGCTAGGTGGCATTACAATCAGGCCTTTCAAACAAAGGTGAGCTAGCCTGCTAGCTCGCTATTTTAGCCAACTCTCTCACAACTCAGCTAGCTAGCACATCGGCCTCAGTATGAAAAATGTATGCACTAACTGTAAGTCGCTCTGGATAAGAGCGTCTGCTAGCTAAATTATTAAAATGTTGAATGTAAGATTCCCTAACAACACGCCACTTCGATACAGCTCAGACTTTTTCGTAGCAGGTTAGGAGAATTAACATAGCAGGTTGGGAGAACTTGGTTAAGGTTAGGAAGAGGGTTAGCGTTGGCCAGAATATATTCCAAACCTACGCTTGCTTACTGCTGCTGAAAAACTAGCAGTCGTTCAATCTTCTCGATGTAAAAGTTGGGATAATGGGACAATTTGGAGTACAACGTATTTCTCATCCCTGGATTGAGGTACATTTTCCGAGCCATATTTTGCGCCGGCTCCACAGTGTCTTAATCTAAACAGGAAGCCTGACCGACCCCAGTGCAACTGTAGGGTCGGAATATATTCTGGTTAGGGTTAGCAAAAATGCTATCCTAACCTGCTACAAAAAGTAACTTGTATCTAAGTGTCGTGTTTTTAGGGAGTCCCTAACTCTCAACCTCTAGGCGGCATTCTGCCTTCTCCCTACAGTTCTCAGCCATTAGCGTCGCCCACGACTGCCTCATGTGAACTTACAATCCCGATGCTGCATTTTAACGTTTACAAAAACGTCAAATCGCTTGCAATACAGCTTTCAAAACATATGGCCCTTATCTTTCATTCAACAAGAAAGAATCCTTCAAATAAAAAATATATACTTACTGTAGCAGTTACAGATCCATACAGCTATGGGTGCTTCCATCCGAGTAAACTACACTTCCGCTACACATCCCGAGTTACGCTCATTGGCACAGGTGGTCGCCTCTTGTCTTCCGTAAACAAACTCTGTAACATGGAGATATGGCCGTGTGGGAAAAGTAACCCCAACCTTATCAAGGTGTGTATCAATTTAAGTTTTTATTATTATTTTTAGCTGATATGAAAGATAAGGGACGGACCGATATGTACTGGGGGGGAGTGTTGGTACAAAATAGGGGAGGGTTGTCAAACTTGGTATTTTTGCTTTGGGGAGGGTCGTGTGCTTTTTGGGGGTACACAGGGGAGGGTAGTGCGTTTTTCCCCTGATTTACATTCACTCTTCTGCTCATATTTTCCCTATAAACAATGGCTTGACTTACTTCTGTGAAACGTTTGTGAAGGATTGATATGGTGTGGCTATTATTAAGCTTTAGCTACTGCAGGCCTATAATATGAAGGCAGTGTGCTCCAACTGACAGTTGAACTTGAGGTGAGGAAGACTGTTTCAGGCCTACCAGAGTTACTCCTATAGTCTAAAAATAGAATTATTATCTTTATACAAAATATTCAGATAGAACATTTACTAATTACCCTCCTTCTGTACGTCTATCTACATAGCAGATGCAGTGGCCATCTGACATAAAGAAATGCATGTCAGTGTCGTAGCATGCCACCGGCATATCTCTATATCTCTGGGGTTAGGCCTAAGCTTCTATTCCTTTATATAGGCTACATATACAGTGGGGAGAACAAGTATTTGATACACTGCCGATTTTGCAGGTTTTCCTACTTACAAAGCATGTAGAGGTCTGTAATTTTTATCATAGGTACACTTCAACTGTGAGAGACGGAATCTAAAACAAAAATCCAGAAAATCACATTGTATGATTTTTAAGTAATTAATTTGCATTTTATTGCATGACATAAGTATTTGATCACCTACCAACCAGTAAGAATTCCGGCTCTCACAGACCTGTTAGTTTTTCTTTAAGAAGCCCTCCTGTTCTCCACTCATTACCTGTATTAACTGCACCTGTTTGAACTCGTTACCTGTATAAAAGACACCTGTCCACACACTCAATCAAACAGACTCCAACCTCTCCACAATGGCCAAGACCAGAGAGCTGTGTAAGGACATCAGAGATAAAATTGTAGACCTGCACAAGGCTGGGATGGGCTACAGGAAAATAGGCAAGCAGCCTGGTGAGAAGGCAACAACTGTTGGCGCAATTATTAGAAAATGGAAGAAGTTCAAGATGACGGTCAATCAACCTTGGTCTGGGGCTCCATGCAAGATCTCACCTCATGGGGCATCAATGATCATGAGGAAGGTGAGGGATCAGCCCAGAACTACACGGCAGGACCTGGTCAATGACCTGAAGAGAGCTGGGACCACAGTCTCAAAGAAAACCATTAGTAACACACTACGCCGTCATGGATTAAAATCCTGCAGCGCACGCAAGGTCCCCCTGCTCAAGCCAGCGCATGTCCAGGCCCGTCTGAAGTTTGCCAATGACCATCTGGATGATCCAGAGGAGGAATGGGAGAAGGTCATGTGGTCTGATGAGACAAAAATATAGCTTTTTGGTCTAAACTCCACTCGCCGTGTTTGGAGGAAGAAGAAGGATGAGTACAACCCCAAGAACACCATCCCAACCGTGAAGCATGGAGGTGGAAACATCATTCTTTGGGGATGTTTTTCTGCAAAGGGGACAGGACGACTGCACCGTATTGAGGGGAGGATGGATGGGGCCATGTAGCCGGCCGCGACCGGGAGACCCATGGGGCGGCGCACAATTGGCCCAGCGTCGTCCAGGGTAGGGGAGGGAATGGCCGGCAGGGGATGTAGCTCAGTTGGTAGAGCATGGCGTTTGCAACGGCAGGGTTGTGGGTTCGATAAAATAATGTATGCGCTAACTGTAAGTCGCTCTGGATAAGAGCGTCTGCTAAATGACGTAAATGTAAATGTAAATAATTAGTTAAATAAAGTCCACCTGTGTGCAATCTAAATGTCACATGATCTGTCACATGATCTCAGTATATATATACACCTGTTCTGAAAGGCCACAGAGTCTGCAACACCACTAAGCAAGCGGCACCACCAAGCAAGCGGCACCATGAAGACCAAGGAGCTCTCCATCATGCTGTGGGGATGTTTTTTTTTCCAGGTTGTAAGGCAACAAAATAGGAAAAATGCCAAGGGGGGTAAATACTTTTGCAAGCCACAGAAGATAGCCCTATTTGGTAAAAGACCAAGTCCATATTATGGCAAGAACAGCTCAAATAAGCAAAGAGAAATGACAGTCCATCATTACTTTAAGACATGAAGGTCAGTCAATACGGAACATTTCAAGAACTTTGAACTTTTCTTCAAGGGCAGTCGCAAAAACCATCAAGCGCTATGATGAAACTGGCTCTCATGAGGACCGCCACAAAAATTGAAGACCCAGAGTTACCTCTGCTGCAGAGAATAAGTTCATTAGAGTTACCAGCCTCAAACGCAAACCATGATATTGAAGTGCCTAAAGTCGGTATGCTTTGTTTATTGGTTGTGTGGTGCATTGGCACAGAAACCTGTTGGTGGAAAATGTGTTGCATATATTTTATATAAATATGGCATCAAAATATTGAAAATCAGATTTCCCCCTAGCTGATCATTGTCTGCAGCCGGCTCTGATCGTAGTGTAATGAAACAGGCAGGGAGAGTGAGCTCGTCTGGGGTGGTCGGTGAACAGTCAACCTTCTGGCCCGTCATCGACTGTGCCAGAAAAGCATGTTGAAGTCGATATCCACATTTATAAACACAGGGTCACTACAGTTATTGTTATTTGTGGTCGTAATCATTATTTTTAGTTAATTCTATGTGGGGGAGGGTGTTCAATTTATTTTACAGTACAAGGGGAGGGTCATGTGAAAATAATTGTTACTTTGGGGAGGGGGGGTGCATTTTTTTTATTGACACCTTGAGTTGGACCAGCGCGTCCCCAGTGGTGGAAAAAGTACCCAATATTCATAGAAAGATACCTTCAAAGAAAATTACTCTAGTAAAAGTCACTCAGTAAAATACTACTTGAGTAAATGTCTAAAAGTATTTGGTTTTAAATATACTTAAGTATCAAAAGTAAATGTAATTGCTAACATATACTTAAATATCAAAGTAAAAGTATAAATCTATTAAAATTCCTTGTATTAAGCAAACCAGAAGGAACAATTTTCTTGTTTACATTTTTTGGCCAGGGGCACTCTACAAAACTCAGACATCATTTTCAAACGAAGCATTCATGTTTAGTGAGTCCGCCAGATCAGATGCAGTAGGGATGACCAGAGATGTTCTCTTGATAAGTGTGTGAATTGGACCATTTTCCTGTCCTGCTAAGCATTCAAAATGTAACGAGTACTTTTGGGTGTCAGGGAAAATGTATGGAGTAAAAAGTACATTATTTTCCATCAGGAATGTAGTGAAGTAAAAGTGGTCAAAACTATAAATAGTAAAGTACAGATACCCCAAAAAACGACTTAAGTACTTTACACCACTGCCCCTCCCCCTTAGTACATTTCGATCTGTCCCTAAAATGCTTGTGTGTTAATGTTCAGATTGAGCGTCGGGGTTCTTAACAAACTCCCTGTACAGAAGAAGCGTTCATCCAATGATTTATGTGTAATGGAACTGAGAGTCATGATAAAGGGCTTGGGAGTCCCCATCGGCCTAGCCAGGTTGGCACAACAACGGGGAATCTTTTGCCATCTGACAAGACAAATGTGGTACAAAGCAATCGAACTAGCTAAGTTTATACCGTTAAAAAGCTAAATTGTTAGATATAGCAAGCAGTTCGCCGACCTTAGGTGGTCAATTTGTATGCTGGTTGCACTGCAGCAGTGTCAACAATCCGCTACACTGGAGTTGTTTTCGCAGCCATCTGGGAAAACTATTTTCGAATCACAGATGAATTTGACAATATAACACAACGAAGCGACTTACCTTTTACTGTATGAACTCGGCACATGCAGATCATCTTGTTTGTTGTGAACATTAGTAAGAAATAAAGTAGAAAACCCGCATAAACTTCCTGATTTTCACATAATCACCTGTGTTACAGTAGAAACTGCTCGGTGGGATTTATTGTACTAAAAATGATGGCTCCACACTAAAAGTTCCTGTGATGCCCTTGCCTTTCCAGACTGTGCATAAATCAGGCCTATATTCTAATACAATGTTGAAGGAGAACATTAAGAACAGGAATTGGTCTTAATGATCATGGATTGGTCTTTGCTTATTACAAATGGTTGATGGAACAATTAAACAAGTGACAGGCAATTGACAACTGTCAAATTCAATCATATCATTATTGTATGATGTTGATACTCAATTTGGATAAATAATCAGTAATAATGTAATGTGAGAACTGGCCATAGAGATCCTATTAAATTACTAGAGGGTACTATGTCATTAACTCTCAAAGTTCCAGAATGGGGTGAAAATGGCAGCCATATTGGTCAGGGAGAAATCCTAACCAGTCTAATTGAAATGAATGGCAGTAGAGGCATAATCCTGATTTTACTTATGCAGGAAAATAAAAGTAAGGAATGTGATATCAGAAATTGTGTAATAGAATTATTGTCAACCTAAAATATTGTCATATAATTATAAATACAGTTTATATAGGTTTTATACCAATTTTCTGTATAAATATCATCTAAACTATGTGTAAACAGACCATAAATGTCTCAATTTGTGTTTTCTTGGAAAACTGTGAGTACTATTTTATTATACAATATCAGTACTTGTTGCATTTAAAAACTTGTCTAAGTCTTATCATCAACTGATTTGAGCCAGTGTATGGCTTTGGATTGACTGCATTGTTTGAATGGAATGTTGGCATATTGGTAGTTAACTTGAATACATTTTTCAAATTCATTATTTTACACAATATCTTATCACAGTGCTGGCAAACCACTCTTATTTCAGACCTATTCCTGGATAAACAATGAGCAACATCCATTTTGGAATTATTGGAATTTCTATCAACCACAAAATACGATTTCCCATTGTTCTGAGTAAACTGAAGAATAAACAATGTTATTTTCAGTCAACTATTCATATATTATTCATCACCTAATTATCAAATATTAAAACAAATATATCAAAACAAATATTGTAAATGTAATGGAATAATCTTATGCTGAGTGTTGATCGTTAACCTTTATGACCCCATGACAGATGTCACAAAAATAAAAAAAGATTCTCTATATTTCGACAGAGAGAATTTCCTATGGTGGTTGGTTATTGTGCCCTCTTCTATTCAGGTATTTAACACACAAACACACACACACAAACACACACACACACACACACCCACACTTAATGTGGTGTAGTGGACACAAGTGTTACCCGATATAGCCTGAGCGATAGAGTGGTGTCAGGTAAGGTCACGTCTCACATTTACTAGCTACTTAAGCACTGAGGAAAATACAACAGAACAGCTCCCTTCACACTTGATTGCCAGAAACAGCAGACAAGGTTTTCCCTTACTCCTTCGACACAGTTGTCTGAATTGGCACCTCAATGGTATCTTCTTTTCTGTTTCATGTGCAGTAGGTCAATGTATATGTGGGTTGTTGATGGGCTAGCGATGATGCTAACCACTGTAAACGTGATGAACTGTGAGCTTTACACGACTAAGACAGACCGCTGGGTCATACAAGCTGTAGTGTATTCATATTGTGATTTGGATGGACAGAACGGTGTCACACAATATTACAACTAACATAGCAGCTCTCCACTATCTTTATATTTTAGGCAACACTACGTAACACTTCGTAACATAAAGTAATAGTGCATTAATGAAAATGTATGCACTCACTAACTGTAAGTCGCTCTGGATAAGAGCGTCTGCTAAATGACTAAAATGTAAAATGTAAAATGTAAATGAAATTGATTTCCAGTGAGTATTAGCTCAAATGCTACGTTAAATCCATTCCAGGACAATAGCACTCTCTCGAGGGTTAAGTGTACATTCAGTTCATTGTAACATACAGCACTTCCTTATATGGCATCTGTTGTATGGTTAAGATACAGTAATTTAACAGATGTAAATGTTCAGCAGTTGTGTTTGAAAGAAAAAACGCAATGCAATTTGCCACAATAGGTTACAACATGTTTATTAATCTCTTTGATAGACAATGTCGGGCGCATTGGAAGGAAACATGGGGCGACACAGCTATACAACCTTCTAGAATTTCATAAAAAGGCAAACAAAAATGGTTTCACGGATTAATAATTTTATTGAATAGAGAGGGGCTCTGAAAAAAAACGAAATTTGAAGGGTACAATTCAAGCAGGACAGAGAAAATCAAATTCCCAGGAATGGAAGCTGCTGTAGGCTTGAGGAAGTAGACTGGAGGCTGGAAGCTGGAGGAAGGAGAGGAGAATGAACACCTGCTGCTCTCTCTGCGCCCATGGATCTCTCAGGACTGGACCATGATCAGGAATTCTGTGGCGAGAGAGAAAACATAGAATTAGAATGAGAAAAACATTCTGAGATTAGTTCTAATTCTGGATTAGAACAAGAACAGTCTCAGATTAGATCAGAGCAGTACTCAGGAAACATTGGTTATTTATGTAATCACTTCAATAGACAGCCCATAGAATTAGGAATTGGAATACTAGAATGGACATGAACTTTCTTATCAAAGACAGTACAGTATGAAGATAGGCAGAAACTGCTTCTCCAATAGAAATCCCCCAATCACACTTTTAGGCGATGTCATGGCGACGTTGGCTAGCTAAGCTCATGCGCAGAAACACGTCATCGGGTCTAACAGTCATCTCACGCAGAACTGCACATGTGCAGGCCGTCAAATCAAAGGTACTCCTTCGATATAAAGTAGTTTTTGATGAAAAGGAAAACATATCAGTTTGTCACTTTGACAAGGTTGGAGTAATAACATGTTCAACTACACTGAACAAAAATATAAACCCAACATGCAACAATTTCAAAGATTTTACTGAGTTACAGTTCATATAAGGAAATCAGTCAATTGAAATAAATTCATTAGGCCCTAAACTATGGATTTCACATGAATGGGAATACAGATATGCATCTGTTGGTCACAGATACCTTAAAAAAAAAAGTAGGGGCATGGATCAGAAAACCAGTCAGTATCTGGTGTGACCACCATTTGCCTCATGCAGCGCGACACATCTCCTTCGCATAGAGTTGATCAGGCTGTTGATTGTGGCCTGTGGAACATTGTCCCACTCCTCTTCAATGGCTGTGCGAAGTTGCTGGATATTGGCGGGAACTGGAACACGCTGTCATACACGTCGATCCAGAGCATCCCAAACATGCTCAATGGGTGACATGTCTGGTGAGTATGCAGGCCATGGAAGAACTGGGAAATTTTCAGCTTCCAGGAATTGTGTACAAATCCATGCGACATGGGGCCGTGCATTATCATAATTAAATATGAGGTGATGGCGGCGAATGAATGGAACGACAATGGACCTCAGGATCTTGTCATGGTATCTCTGTGCATTCAAATTGCCATAGATAAAATGCAATTGTGTTTGTTGTCCGTAGCTTATGACTGCCCATACCATAACCCCACCGCCACAATGGGGCACTCTATTCACAATGTTGACATCAGCAAACCGCTCGCCACACAACGCCATACACACTGTCTGTCATCTGCCCGGTACAGTTGAAACCAGGATTAATCCGTGAAGAGCACACCTCTCCAGCATGCCAGTGGCCATCGAAGGTGAGCATTTGGTACACTGAAGTCAATTACGATGCCAAACTGCAGTCAGGTCAAGACTCTGGTGAGGACGACGAGACTGCAGATGAGCTTCCCTGTGACGGTTTCTGACAGTTTGTGCAGAAATTCTTCGGTTGTGCAAACCAACAGTTTAATCAGCTGTCCGGGTGGCTGGTTGCAGAAGATCCGCAGGTGAAGCAGCCAGATGTGGAGGTCCTGGGCTGGCGTGGTTACACGGTTGGACGTACTGCCAAATTCTCTAAAACAACGTTGGAGGTGGCTCATGGTAGAGAAATGAACATTCAATTCTCTGGCAACAGATCTGGTGGACATTCCTGCATTCAGCATGCCAATTGCATGCTCCTTCAAAACATGAGACATCTGTGGCATTGTGTTGTGTGACAAAACTGCACATTTTAGAGAGGCCTTTTATTGTCCCTAGCACAAGGTGCACCTGTGTAATGATCAAACTGTTTAATCATTTTCTTGATATGCCACACCTGTCAGGTGGATGGATTATCTTGGTAAAGGAAACATTTTCATTAACAGGGATGTAAACAAATTTGTGCAGAACATTTTAGATAAATACGTTTTTTGTGCATCTCAAAAAAATGTGGGGATCTTTTATTTCAGCTCATGAAACATGGAACCAACACTTTACATATTGTGTTTATATTTTTGTTCAGTATACTTAAGACATTGTCTCAAATTTATGTTGTGCCTTTAGATTTCGAAGAAATTAACAACTAAGGAAGAATTTGTCACTTCGGCTCATAATAATGGATGGAATAGAGCAAATGGAATGGTATGAAACACCTGCAAACCATGTGTTTGATGTATTTGATACCATTCCACCTATTACGAGCCCGTTCTCCCCAATTAAGGTGCCACCAACCCCCTGTGGTTTGCATTAACTTGTACAGTGATTTTTTTTTGTCGAAATGTAGGAAGTTTGCATAGAAAATAGATGAAACAATTGCCTGCTAGGGTGCATTTCAATTTAATAATCTTGTGTCAATAAAAAACAGCTGGACATAATGATGTCACACCTAAAAAAAAAATAGTGTTGAATAAACATTTAGTGGTTGAAGTGTTTGTGTTTCCATTACCCATCAGGGAAATTGCACATTAATAAATTGGTGAAGTCTGTATGCCCTCCCACCTATCTGTTTCATGTCTCAGGTAGCCCTCGAAAGCCAGCATGGACAGAATGCAAGAATTTACTAATATTTGCCATATTCACCATGGTCCGTGCCATGGTGAAACTTGCACTCCTGTAGATCTGAAATAATTGGATGGTGAAACTTGCCAGCCAACCAGAAAAGCAAGGCGAAGCAATTCAGGCATTCTTGAAAGTCAGGACAATCCTTGTCCTGCAAAGAAACATGATTTTTATAGTTGAAAAAATTAGATTTTGCAAGCAGTAGGCATTTAGAATTAAATGTGGAGTGGAGCTTCATAGTTACGTGATGACATCATGTGCCCCATGTACCTTTAAAAGTATTCAGCAATCATAATCTAACATAATTTATTTAAAAAACACTGTTTCCATCATCATTTGTTGCAATAAAGAAAGTTAGACAAAATACAAATCCACCCCTGTCAAACGGGATAAAAATGTTGTCGATCTTTAGAAAATATCTCCTATATCTGCCGTTTCCATTTCACGTGTCGCAATGATTTTGGTCAATGGAAACCTTCCTATTGACTTCTCAAACCCCAAACCCCAGCCTGGTCTGCTTGGTCTGTTTCACAAGCGTTCCCAGAAGTCTCCCGATGTTGTCCGAATACTTATGTAATAAAGTATTTATTTTGTAATATATTTGCGAACATAAAAAAAAAAACGGTTTTTGCTTTGTCATTATGGGGTATTGTGTGTAGATTGATGAGGGAAAAAAATATCTTATCCATTTTAGAATAAGCCTGTAACGTAACAAAATGTGGAAAGAGTGAAGGGGTCTGAATACTTTCCGAATGCACTGTATCACATGCCTTACTTTTATTATGCATACCACCATGCACATATATAAGTATTTTTTCACAGAATCAATTCGCCCCCATATCCAAAAGATGTTGGATAAAGCATAACAACAAACCTTACGTAATACAAATACCCAAACACTTACAAAACCTTTTTGTTTGTTATTCCTTCAGTAGTGGGAAATGACAAAAAGCTGACCCAAATGACCCTGAACCAAATCGTTGGTTTGTAACCAGAGAATAATGTTTAGGGGTTGTCTGAATCCTTCATCTGGTTATGCAATCCCAGCCTGGCCAGTTTATGCAGCCCAGCCCTAGATAGTGCTAAAAGCTGGCTGTTAACCATTATTATAGCATCTGGAGGTCCAGACCAGGGTTAAAATAGTATTTGAAATATTTCGATTTCTTTAGCTGTGCTTGATTGAGCTTGTCTGGTGTATTGGAATCAATGGAATAGACCCAAAAGTGCAAATGTCGCCCATCTGGCACTCCAGGTAGGCTCAATGAAACGCTAAAAGTATATGAAAGGTTTCGAATACTATTTCGAACCAAGGTCTGCTGGAGGCTGTGACTTATGGATCTCTGTTTGGCAAGGAGACCAACTGGCATTGCCATTAAGAGCATCTGATTAAGCTCCACAATCTGTTCCTGTCACCCTCAAAACCTTGCACACATGCTACTCTATACTCTACCAGGGTTGTCCCAATGCCTTCCTCATGACCTGAAACATCTGATGTCTGTAAAGCCTACACTCTATCCATTCTCTTCTCTCTACTCTGGGCTGGCCCTTCAAAGCCATACATATGTGTTGACAGTTGTCAGGGCGGATTACAACTCTAAAGAGCATAACGTTAATCTCATACGACAAAATACACATGGCCATACAATGCCATAAATATGAAGAGAGACCCAACCATCGGCATGCTTGGCTTAGATTCTATAGTATTCTGCCATACTGGAACAGGATTTGCAATAGTCAGGAAAGAACTTTAAACTATTTGATACAAGGAAATACTAACAGCCTTACCAAGTGGCTCCTGATAATGCCCCAGCCTGCAGGTGATTACAGAGAGCAACTCACCTTCTACTCCGATCTTGCCGTCGTTGTCATCATCAGCTGCAGACAGGAAGCCTTTGCACTCAGCGTCCGTCAGCGTCCGCGCCCCGGGAACAAACCGTTGCAGGAAGAACCTAGGGGAGTACACACACACACAGACACACACACAATCAGAATACACACACACATTCAATCATTTTGTGAGCCTTACACATACTGTACCACGCGTCTGTCCCGTGCGCACACACACACAATTTGTTTTCCAGCACAGCCCTTGTGTCATAAAGGCACTTTGGTTCCAGTTAAACAAGGATTGAAAGTAGTATAGCTAGGTTATATAGCCGAAACATACAAATGATCAACTCTCTGGCACAATGTTCAGCCTGGTCTCTCTGCAGCTTTGTAACAATGTTCAGCCTCTCGCCAGCTTTGTAACAATGTTCAGCCTGGTCTCTCGCCAGCTTTGTAACAATGTTCAGCCTCTCGCCAGCTTTGTAACAATGTTCAGCCTGATCTCTCTCCAGCTTTGTAACAATGTTCAGCCTGGTCTCTCGCCAGCTTTGTAACAATGTTCAGCCTGGTCTCTCTCCAGCTTTGTAACAATGTTCAGCCTGGTCTCTCTCCAGCTTTGTAACAATGTTCAGCCTGGTCTCTCTCCAGCTTTGTAACAATGTTCAGCCTGGTCTCTCTCCAGCTTTGTAACAATGTTCAGCCTGGTCTCTCTCCAGCTTTGTAACAATGTTCAGCCTGGTCTCTCTCCAGCTTTGTAACAATGTTCAGCCTGGTCTCTCTCCAGCTTTGTAACAATGTTCAGCCTGGTCTCTCTCCAGCTTTGTAACAATGTTCAGCCTGGTCTCTCTCCAGCTTTGTAACAATGTTCAGCCTCTCGCTAGCTTTGTAACGAGTGTTTTTTTGCTGCACAGTCTCTATATGCATTGTCATAGAAGGTGAGGGACTGTGAATTGAGTAAAATCTCTGTTATACTGCATCTGTCCATGAACCAAATTGTACTTGGGTCATACAGTTGGTGTCCTAAATTCTGCTCGCTGGCACATTTATATAATCTAGTCAGCACATTATATAATGTAAATATAACAATTATACTTTTTTTAACCCATGGATTATATTAAGAAAACGGATTAATGGTAGCCTTCCATTAAAATGACAGGGGAGTTGGATTGGACAATTTGATCTCATTGGCATTTGTTGCACTTGCAACAAAAAAATAGGTAATTGTATTAAATAGTATTGTCTCCTGTCACTCCGCATACATTTAGAAATGTTCTCTGTGGTTCTGATGGCTCAGCAGGTTGCCACCGGCACGGTTGGTGGTCCTGTGTGTTTCATCTGTAAGAGTGTGCTGCTGGCAATGCCAAGGTCATGGGTTCAATTCCCGCAGGGATCATGTATGCTTAGTAAAAATGTACGGTATGTAGTCACTGTACTGTGAGCTGTTTTGGATAAAAGCATCTGCTAATTGGCACAGTTGTAGTTTTGAATCCCACCAAGGCCACATACAGCCAACTGAATGTACTGTACGTGTTAATGATAAGTCACTTTGAATAAAGGCGTCAGTAAAATGACTATGTAATTTGCATTCCTATGTTATCATTACACAGGAAATTGGTCGCAAGTGTCCCCCCTTCTAAAGGATCACTCCAAATGTCATACTTGAGCTCTGACTCCTCGATGTAGCCACTGTTGTCGTCGTCAAGGATCTGGAAGACATCTTTGACTTCTTTGGGAGACTTGGAGGTCAGGCCACACAGCTGGAAAAACTTCTTGAAGCTGAAGGAGTCTGGGGCTGAAGGGATTAAGGGAGAACATGTCAGAGGAGGCTGGTGAGGGGAGGACGGCTCATAATAATGGATGGAATGGAGTGAATGGAATGGTATCAAACACATGGAAACCATGGAAACCAGGTGTTTGTTGTGTTTGATACCATTCCATTCCAGCCATTCCTATGACCCATCCTCCCCTTTTAAAGTGCCACCAGCCACCACTGGAACCCATGCACCACCAATGCATGCACACACAGACAGTGGACATGCAGCATGTGAGCGTGCACAAACACACACACACACACACACACACACACACATACACACACATGTTAGAGTTCAGGCAAGGTTGACTCGCTGAGGAGCTTAGAAGGTAGCTTGGCTGCAGTCCAGATTGGACATTTCTCCCTTTATAGGCTGGCACACAGACACTCTTCCTAAACTGGTACAGTCCTCTTCACCCCAGCACGTGGACTAAACCCATCCTCAGGATGCTAAATTCTACTGCAATAGTCTGTGGGCTACTGTCAGCATAGTACTGAGTAGGAAGCAGTCTGGCTAACAATAACTCTTACAGTACATGATAACAGTCTGTTACAATCTGACCATCTCTCTCATCTCTCTGTTTTCCTCTAATTTTCATTATCTCTATCTCTATCTTTCTCTCTCTCTCTCTCTCTCTCTCTCTCTCTCTCTCTCTCTCTCTCTCTCTCTCTCTCTCTCTTTTCTCAGGTAGTCCTGCCTCCTGAAGTAAGACCTACCTTGGAACTCCTTGACGGCATTCTCGATATCCTCCGCAGAAAGGATAGAAGTGAGTGACATATTAATCCTGTAGGATTGAGGAACGTAGTAAATTATTCCGAATATTTCTCAAATTAATCAATTTTAAGTAACCACAACCAACAACACTGCCATGAATTGAACAACACAACCTTTAAAACCTACTTATATGTCCCTTTCTCTCCCTCCCAGGTGATGACTTCTAAAAGTACTGCTTTAGTTCGTTTTCTCTGTCAACCTCTTTCCTCTCCTTGCTCTGATAATCTGCTGATGTCAATTTAGTGAAATTATGTTGATGTCCCTGTTCTGTTTTTGGCGTAATCTGGCTGCTGGATCCGATTCCTCTGATGTAGGCGATTTGAAATTATCTGTCAAAAAGGCTATCGATGAACACGCAACAACACTTCTGCATGCAGATGCATAATGACGTCTGCCAAATGGATTAGGAATAGTCTAGGCTACTTATCGAAAACCTTCAAGCCCAATTCCGTTAAAAACCCAAATCCGAGAAAAATTCCCTAAAAGAGTGTCTGCCAGGTAAATGAACCTGCAACTTCCTCCGCAGCGTATCACCTGAGCCGCACTAGGCTGACTACCTGAGCATCACTCTGTCAGCAAAGTAACAGCACGCACACGTCACACTAAAAACTCAAATAGTGTTTTATCCTACTCACCGCTTCGATGGTCTCGCCTCGCCGGTGTCCAAAGCAGAGGATGTAAGGCTTTGTGGTGACTGATGACAGCGGATGAGGACTTATATATGGACTGGATGCACCGACAATCTGCAACGCTTGAGTTACCTGTCCGTGTATCAAATGATCACAGCCAGGCCCCTCTCGAATTCCTTACCTAACTAATTAACCGTTAGCCTACTATTTATATCCGCCTTGACTGGCTGATGCGTGCAAATAGGCACTGCACCTGTACCGCCCTTCTACTATAGCAGCAAGTGTTAAACGCATCTCTCTCTCTCTCTCTCTCTCTCTCTCTCTCTCTCTCCACCCCCCCCCCCCCCCCCCCCCCCCCCCCCCACCACTTGGTGCACACACACACCACAATTTTGCTGAGCTTACCTTTTTTTTTTTTTTGGTGTGGGGACATACAAGACTGTAAAATCACCAGGTAATCAGCTCAAATTGATTTTAATTTAGAAAATCTGTTCTCAAGTATTCCCACGCATAAATAGAGGCATATGGGATCTTATCCCAATGTAATAAAGGTTTGAAATGATTCTGTGTTTGTCAAATACTATATCTGTTTGGGATTATTGCGGCCAATTTGCAGTCTACAAATTATTTATACCTTTGTTCCGGCTCCTGACCATCCCCTGCCCTATAGTCTTAATTGGTGGTAGTCATTAAATAGTGCCAAAAGATGTTTAACTTTAAATTATATGATAACATTGAGAAATATTATTAACAAATAATGAATAGAAACATCTACTGACAGATCCATGAACAGATTGAAATTAGCATTGCATGTTAAGTAAGTAATCCCAAAATATTAATTCCCCTACTATTCTGTCAAAAACCAAGTGGGAGCAGATGGGGCCAGATTATCTAATATCTTCTCATGCTAATCTAATGTAGGCTGTCAGACAGATATTACACTGGCCATCCATCAGCAAATGGCATGGCAATTTAACCATGTCTCACCCCACCAGGATAAGGTTGCGCTTTAATTCAACATATTAACTCACCTATATCTTAATCTCAATACTTAGTGCAAGTGAATTAAGGCTACTGTACATGTTATTTTACAGTTTTAGACATTTTTCTTTCAAAAATCTGTTTTAGTTTATGAACATGCAGGAAATGGTTAGAATAAAAACTCTTGTATGAAATGTTTGCTCTCTTTACTGCACGGTTTTGTTATACTCTCAGGGTATGAAACAGTGTTCAGTTCCACTGTAAAGGTGAATAGCCCACACACAGTATTCTGCCTCCTGAATAAATTCACTCAACCTACATGTTGGCTGATAGCCAGCACACTGTGGTTGTGATTCCACCTGGTCACTATAACAACCAGCTTGGCTGTGGTGAGGGATGTGTAACCTATCAGTGGAGGTTTCAAAACTTCCGACACAGCAGCAGCATCTCTCATGACTTCATTAAGGTGGTGGGAAGACCAAGGGAATCATTTTTCTCTAATTTATACTCGACCCCAAACCCAGTCCAACCCCTTACCAACCATTAATCTCTTGACTGACCCATCTTGATACATGATATAAAGGAAAAAGAAGAAACAGGTTTGTGAAATGTACATCATTTGATTCAGTGCCAGACAGTGCCTCTGGCTTTAGATCATTTGATTTGGTTACCACCTAGTGGTTTGTCTCTGCCAATGCAGAGCCCCCAACATAACTTCTGAATCAAACTGGAATCAATCAAGCTAGTGGGTTGGAAATTAAAAAGCAAACAGCCTTATCCCTTATTGATATTTAATAAGCATATGTAACAGTGAACAATTGGCCGAATATTTAGGAGCCATTCTGGCCTACTGATGTGGATGTTGTGTTGTCTATAGTTTATCTGTCTTCGGTCTGTGGTCGTCTGTAGCTCAGCTGGTAGAGCACGGCGCTTGTAACGCCAAGGTAGTGGGTTCGATCCCCGGGACCACCCATACACAAAAAAAATGTATGCACACATGACTGTAAGTCGCTTTGGATAAAAGCGTCTGCTAAATGGCATATTATTATTATATTACAGTAGGTATGGTTCATGGGTCACTGGTCACGTGTAGCCTATAGGCACACAGAAGACCAGGAAGTAGGGATGCACAGGCCATAAAGACAGATAGAGGACTCTAGTGCCCAAAAGCCAGTTTTAGCATGGGCAGCGCCATTGAGGACTTTCAACATTTTGAAGTAGTCAACTGGGTAGAATTTATGGTTTAAGGAAGGATCACATAATTCCATCCAGGTCATCAGGAGGGATCAGCCAATGAATTATACTCATGAGCAAACATTCCAATAACTTATCAATGACCCAAGCCCAGCTCATTTAATCCCTACCATTGTCGCTGAGTTGTCGTAATGCTTCAGCAAATGTACATTATCCCAGGGGCGTTGGAAGACACCATTTAAGTAAGCTAATTTATGTCCCTCTAACTGGCCTGAATGCCTCTGCTGATCCTACAGCTGTTGTATACAGTAATCATGTGCCTATGAACCAGAGTTATACTGTTAGCACTGAGGCGGTGCCCAAGCAGGAAGTCCACTGTGTGCAGCTCACCCTGCACTAATAAAAATAACCTCAGCATGTCTACCTCTGCTAAGCTTCCCAGTAAAGCAATGAAAACAATCAAACATCCCAGAAAAGTGCTAAAAATAGCCCACGTTAACATATGTAGTTTAAGAAACAAGGTTCAAGAAATCAATAATTTGCTAGTAACAGATGACATTCGTATTCTGACAATCTCTGAAACTCACTTAGATAATACCTTTTATGATACAGTGGTAGCAATACATGGTTATAAGAAAATACAGAAATGCCAAAGGTGGAGGTGTTGCCGTTTATTTTCAGAACCACATTCCTGTACAGCTTAGAGAGGATCTCATGTTAAAAACGGTTGAAGTAATATGGCTACAGGTTCATCTGCCTCACATAAAGCCCATTCTGGTGGGAAGCTGCTATTGACCACTAAGTGCTAACAGTCAGTATCTGGATAACATGTGTGAAATGCTTGATAATGTATGTGATATAAACAGGGAGGTATATTTTCTGGGTGATTTAAATATTGACTGGCTTTCATCAAGCTGCCCACTCAAGAAAAAGCTTAAAACTGTAACTAGTGCCAGTCAACCTACCAAGGTAGTTACAAACAGCACAGGAATGAAATAATCAACATGCATTGATCACATCTTTCCTAATGCTGCAGAAATTTTCTTTAAAGCAGTATCCTTAAAAAATACAATTACAAATACAAATATATAACTGCAGGTGGTGGTAAATCGCAAACCTTGGCTTTATACCTGTTCAAACAACACACTCCAGGTGGAGTAAATACAAATGCATAATTTCCAATCCCCCATATACAGTTGAAGTCGGAAGTTTACATACACCTTAGCCAAATACATTTAAACTCAGTTTTTCACAATTCCTGAAATTTAATCCTTGTAATAATTCCCTGTCTTAGGTCAGTTTAGGATCACCACTTTATTTTAAGAATGTGAAATGTCAGAATAATAGTAGAGAGAATGATTTATTTCAGCTTTTATTTCTTTCATCACATTCCCAGTGGGTCAGAAGTTTACATACACTCAATTAGTATTTGGTAGCATTGCCTTTAAATTGTTTAACTTGGGTCAAACATTTCGGGTAGCCTTCCACAAGCTTCCCACAATAAATTGGGTGAATTTTGGCCCATTCCTCCTGACAGAGCTGGTGTAACTGAATCAGGTTTGTAGGCCTCCTTGCTCGCACACACTTTTTCAGTTCTGCCCACACATTTTCTATAGGATTGAGGTCAGGGCTTTGTGATGGCCACTCCAATACCTTGACTTTGTTGTCCTTAAGCCATTTTGCCACAACTTTGGAAGTATGCTTGGGGTCATTGTCCATTTGCGACCAAGCTTTAACTTCCTGACTGATGTCTTGAGATGTTGCTTCAATATTTCCACATAATTCCTTGTGATTTTCCCATGATGTCAAGCAAAGAGGCACTGAGTTTGAAGGTAGGCCTTGAAATACATCCACAGGTACATCTCCAATTGACTCAAATGATGTCAATTAGCCTATCAGAAGCTTCTAAATCCATGACATCATTTTTTGGAATTTTCCAAGCTGTTTAAAGGCACAGTCAAGTTAGGTATGTAAACTTCTGACCCACTGGCATTGTGAAATAATCTGTCTGTAAACAATTGTTGGAAAAATTACTTGTGTCATGCACAAAGTAGATGTCCTAACCGACTTGCCAAAACTATAGTTTGTTAACAAGAAATTTGTGGAGTGGTTGAAAAACGAGTTTTAATGACTCCAACTTAAGTGAATGTAAACTTCTGACTTCAACTGTATTTGTTGGTAAATATATATTTTAAATATATTTTCCTTTGTTATTTTCTCCTAACCCTACCACACCCCTCCCCTAATTGGAATAAACTAATGGACACCAATACTTACTTGCAGCTTATACATACTATATACATTTTACGGCCACAGTATATTTTATATTAGTTATCTTGTTTCTTTGTTATTTTTGTTATTTTTAGTCACACCCTTCAGCTCCCCTCAACCCCTCCCATCTATCTCTGAACACCATTCAGTTTCGATGTCTGTTAGCCATATACCTGTATTTTTCAACTGTGATGTGATGTTTCACAAAAGTCCTGAGCCTTTTATTCATAGTTTCTACAGATTGTAAATTAAAAATAAAAATTTTTTTGCTAGAGGATTATTATATTATTGATCGATTGACTATGGCTTTTCAAATCACCCAGCAGTGCTATTTTCAGTGTTAGCTCCAGGTACATGTTGTAATTCTTCAGCCATTCCTGAACCTGCAACCAAAAACAAGCTACATATGGGCAGTACCAAAACAAGTGATCTAATGATTCTGTCTCTTTGCAGCAAAATCTGCAGAGCTGGGATGGTTGTATGCCCCATATACAGTGCATTCGGAAAATATTCAGACCCCTTCACTTTTTCAAAAATTTTGTTACATTACAGCCTTATTCTAAAATTGATTAAATTAATTGTTTTCCTCATCAATCTACACACAATACCCCATAATGACAAAGCAAAAACAGGTTTTTTGAAATGTTTGCAAATTTATTAAAAGTAAAAACAGAAATAACTTATTTACATAAGTATTCAGACCCTTTGCTATGAGACTCGAAATTGAGCTCAGGTGCATCCTGTTTCCATTGATCATCCTTGAGATGTTTCTACAACTTGTTTGGAGTCCACCTGTGGTTAATTCAATTGATTGGACATGATGTGTCTATATAAGGTCCCACAA